CAGTTCATCAAGAGATACGACTGCTCTGTTAGCTGAGCAAGGAGGTAGATGCCACAGATGTTCTCTTCAGATGGAGCACAGAAAAGGACCTTGTGCTAATTAAGTGGTACCAAGATTCTGGTCACTGGCACCAAAATACTGCAGGGCATCAGCATGAGACGCAATACAGTAGCATCGAGACTTGTCCAGCAGCTACATCTGAACCACGTATTCTTGGCATCTGGAACAGAAAGGCATCTCTAATTAGCTGCTCTCCACCTTGTGATGTGCAGAGCAACAGTCCCGAACTCATCTGCCTGTTTTTCTGGTGATGAACAACACCTTTCAGGTAACTGCTGGACAGAATTTCAGCTGGGGAACTCCTAAAGTTCATTACTTGCATTATTTTATTGGTTAATCTTCAAACAGGAAATACTCCAGAGCAAAGCCACTTGAGCTGCTCAGGGGTCAATCAACCATCAGCAAATGGTGACTGTAGAACTGTACACATTCCCTTTCTAGTTCAGGTGCTTCTTGTGTATAAAACAAAAATGACACTTTCTCCAAACAGTCAGAATGATTTCCCAAAGGAAGGAGACACTGATAAAATGATACAGAAAAACCAATAATCATCAATAATAAACGACTGACATTAAGCTCACCTTATCACATCACGATGCAGGACAATCCCATGCAGCCTTGATTCCCATCCTCATTGCTGTTGAGCTTTTTCATCCGGTACTGCCGGATCTCTCTCACCAGTGTGTAAAAAGCATCTTCCACGCCCTGAATGCAAAGGATCCAGGTGAAGTACTTTCTTCCCTGAAGCTTTTGAGATGGCTATTCTTTGCATCCTAGAATCTCTTAACATAGCTGAAAGACCTACCCATACAGGAAGAGTACTAGCCAACTTATACTATAGCTCTTAAGAAGGAGAAACTAGCACTTAAGTCCCAAACTCTTGGCTTATGATCTTAACTCCTCCTCAGAGGCAAACACCCAGAGGAACAGCCATTAAAGGAAACAAGGCAAACTGTAACTGTAGAGGGGTCATGTGCAGGAAAATTACTTCTTGAGTCATCATCTCTGGTTTAGGATTCTTAGGATCTTCTGGCTGCTGCTTAATAACTGCAGCTTTTCTGCTTCAGTCCACACTGCTGTGGGTAGAACCAGGCTGACCAGACAAAGCCATGTATCCAGTGCAGCTCTGAACACACTTATTAGTCCACTGGGGAAATCCTTCAGTAAACATAATCTTATAAATAGCCTTTGATAAGAAGCCAAGAAAACTGAATAAGTCTACAATGATTAATGGCAGTCTGACCATGCCCTAGCAAGAGCAGATCACAGAATCATGGAATGGTTTGGGTTGGATGGGATCTTAAAGCCCATCCAGTTCCAACCCCCTGCCACAGGCAGGGACACCTTCCACTAGAGCAGCTTGCTCCAAGCCCCCAAGTCCAATCCAGCCTTGAACACTGCCAGGGATGGGGCAGCCACAGCTTCTCTGGGCACCCTGTGCCAGCGCCTCAGCACCCTCACAGGGAAGAATGAAGCTCTCTTTACAGACATGAAGCTGTGGCTGCCCATAGTACATGGGAAAATGTGAGACTGTTCTGCATTTATCATGCAGGAAGAGGTCAGATGAGAACAGAAGCATCTTACCTGTCTTGTTTTAGCAGATGTTTCTATGAAGGGGATTCCATAGCTTTTTGCTAATTCTTGAGCCTGTTTTGTGTCTACTGTTCTCGTGGGCAAATCACACTTGTTCCCAACTAGCACCATTGGCACGTCATCTGAATCTTTCACTCTCTTGATCTGTTCTCTTAAAAAAGACAAATTTTTAAAAGTTAGGAACTGTCTTCTAAATATAAAGACTTGTTTAGTTCAGTATTCAACCAAACTTGTACTACAAAAATAGATACTAAAGCTGGACAGGACTCAGGGGTTCTAACATACAGCAATACGTCAAATAATTTCCTACACTTCATCTTCTTGTCCACATGTAACTCCATTATTTGCCGCCTTACCCACTGTCTTAGAGATCATGTTCTGTGTGCTCTAAATGTCACTGGATTAAAGCAACCACCCAGATAAGTGCCCCATTCTGAACAGACTACTTAAGTATTGACACAGAACACAGATAAGCTTGAAAAACTTCCTCAAATAACCAAGAGATTTAGTATTTGTCTATTATTTACTTGTCACTGGATTTAAGAGCAAATGGGTCTCGTGCCTTTTCCGCTCTCTGCTCCGGTGGCACAGCCCCTGGTCATACCTGTAAAGGTTAATATCAGCAAATGATTTACTGTTGTTAATGGCAAAGACACAGAGGAATCCTTCCCCAGTTCGCATGTACTGGTCCCGCATGGCACTGTACTCCTCCTGCCCCGCAGTGTCCAGGATGTCCAACAGGCACGTCTCGCCATCGATAACCACCTGCTTTCTGTATGAGTCCTGGAACACACACAGGCAGACTGTAGGGTAAAGCACTTCGGGCAGTTTTAAGGAAAAAATAAATATAATAAGAATAAAGAGAAGCATGAATCAGGAGCTTTTCTAGCCCTGCCTGATAAAAAGACACCAGTATTAAGAACTGTCAGGGATTAAACTGTTGCTCTAATCCCCCTCAACCTTTGTGACTCAAATGCAGAGTCCTGTTTGTAAGAAATTCCTTTAGCAGCAGAAAAATTATAAACACCATCACTGCACCACCATGACTGGAATCTCCAGTCTACCATCTGATGACTTCTTTTGTTGCCATTGTGCCTACCTGCACCCTGCCTTGGGCAGCAAGGAGTGCGACAGGCAAAGGGGTCTTTGAAAGAGTGTCCTGGTTTCAGCTGCAGCAGAGTTAATTCTCTTCCAAGAGAATTCCTCCTCTGCCGGGAGGAAGCAGGGACAGAACATCTGACCCAAACGAGCCAAAGGGGTATTGCATACCACAGCACATCATGCCCAGTATAGAAACTGGGGGGAAGTTACCCAGAAGGGACTGATCGCTGCTGGGGTCGGGCTGGGTATTGGTCTGCAGGTGCTGAGCAATTGTATTGGGCATCGCTTGTGCTTGCTGTTGTTTTTTCATTTTCCCTTTTAGTTTTATATTCCCTCCCCTTGTTATTTTCCTTATCGTTATTATACAGCCCTTTAGTCAATAAACTATTCTTATCTCAACATGCAGTATTACATTAGAATCATAAAACCAACCAGGCTGGAAAAGCCCTTTTAAGCTCATCAAGTCCAAACGTTCTCCAGCACTGCATTTACCAGCTATTCATGCGATTACAGGTCCACTTGTGCCTGCAGCTCCCGAGCCGCGCAGGGGCTGCAGTGCAATGGCTTGTTCCGAGCACAGCCCGATGCATAACGGGAATAAACCCTTCTCTCTCCCTTGTCTCTCATTCTTCCTCCCGTTCTTCTCGTTAACAAGGTAACGTTAAATGGGTGTTCGGTACCGATACGACTCAGTGGCCCGAACCCTTCTGGTTCTCCGATTCGGTTCTCCCGCCTCCCCTCCGCACTCCACCCGGCCCGCGGGGCCGGCACCGGCTGCTTTCAGTCACAGCCCCACCGGAACCAAACGAGTGAAGGGAGCGGCGGCCGCGCCGCCCCGCCCCGCCCCGCAGCAGCCCCGGCGCGGGCCGCGGCTCACCTCGATGGTGGGGTCGTACTCGTCCACGAAGTGGTTCTGGATGAGCTGGATGGTGAGCGCGCTCTTCCCGACGCCGCCAGCGCCCACCACCACCAGCTTGTACTCGGTCATCGCCGGCCCCGGCCGCCCCGCGGCGCGTCCCACCGCCCTCCACCGCTTCCGCCTTCCGCCGCCACGTCATCACCCACCGCCGGAAGCGCGGCGGCGGGTACAGCTACTTCCGGACACGTGCTGCCGGCGCGGCCCCCATCCCCCCCGCAGGAAGGAAGAGACGGGCGGGAGGGCAGGTTCGTTTTGTCTCAAAATCAGTAAAACTTTATTCTATTTCCATTCTTTGCCGTTAACAGAAAAACCTGGAGAAAGCAACGTCCGGTTTACAAAGATAACGCGGCTCCCCGAGAAACCCCTACAGCGAGAAGAGAGGTAACGTGACAAAACAAAAACCCCCAAACTGAACGAAACCAACCCCAAACCCCGGCACTCGCCTCGATCCCGAGCGGTAACTCCTGATCCTGTTGGGTAAATAAGACTCAGACCGATCAATCCGGTTTCTTGATGATGAAGTGTGAGGGGAACATGGGGGGAGGGCGCAAAATAAAGCACACAGAGATCAACTATCCCACCTCGATGAAAGGCTCGGTACAGCTAGTATGGGAAGCCTAAAGGAGTATTTATTCTGTTACAGTACATGGTGCTGGCTGCAAAAAAATAGAGAAAAAAAAAGTATTCACTTCAGGCACAACTTCGTCCTTTGTTTCAGATTAAATCAGTCAACAAAAAAGGGGGGTGGAAGCTGCAGTGTTGGAAGCAGCAGATTTGTGCATTGTTTTAAGTATATTTAAATTACCACACTGATGGCACACCTCAGCCTTAGGAAATTCTGCACTGCACGTGGTTCCGAACGCTACAAACACAAGGTGAAGCTCAGAAAGAGGCTGTCACTGGGCTCTAAAGGTCACTGGCAGAAGGACCGAAGTTAAATGAAACGGGAAAACATTGTAACATTTGGCCACCAACTTATCTGAATGTTCAGACAGATTTGTATCAAGTTGCACTGATTCCACCCTCACATGGTCCTTGTGAGTGGAGCACTGAGCTGAAGGTAGCCTCCCGCTTCCACTAGGAAGTGGACACAACGCAGTCACTCACTAAGGCATAGGAAAACCTCAGCCAAGATAACAAAGCAAAGAGAACTGTAGTGCAGAATTCCATAAGGTCTACCCGAGTTGAGCTCTCTATAATGTTTACTCACAGAGGCAACGTAGATTTGCAGTAACCAGTTGCGTTTAAATGCACCATTCAAAACAAGCTTCTAAAATGTGATACTATAAAGGCGCCACCTTAAAGTTCTCCAGAATGCAACTGTGCATAATTTTAAAATGGTTTCATAAATTTATTTTAAACATAACATGAGAAGGTGTTAAAACCGGTGTAATAGCTTCTTAGAATTTGGAGGAAGGGATTAACAAGGAGATATTCAGTACCCTTCACCAGCCCCCAGCACTCAGCCGTGTATCAGGGATGGGCTTTGAGGATCAGTCTATAACACCAGCTTGGCGGATCTTTCTCTCTGCACCAAATCCCTGCAAGGAAAACACAAACAAGTAACTTTTAGCTCCAGCCTCACACTTTAAAGTCAACCTGTTCTCTTCCAATCCAGGACTGACTGAGCACGCTGCTTCTAATTAGCCACATTTGGCTTCAGGAACACAGACAACACAGGTTCTGTGGGTTGCCAGATGCCTCAAGAGATTCCAGCCACTTCACTTTTGTTTATCAAGTGGTGGCAGAACCTCCTTTGAAAGCCAAATTGATGTGAAGACATTTCACTATCTCTGAGAAGGGGAGCAGGAGGTTTATAAACAAACCTGGAGAGCCATCTCTTGTGTTAGAACACAAGCAGCAACTGGCTGCTTTGATGCTGCATGCTCTTCAAACCACAGCATACATGATTGATTGACACAGGGGACAGCACCCTGACATCATGCAGAAACAATCTCATCTCTCACAGCAGGTAAGTCATTCACTGCGGAATGAAGGTGGACACTGCGCTTCCAACCGTTCATGTTTCCAGAGGAGTCAGTTTTATGCCATTCAGGTTTAAACCCAAACTGCAGTTACTCTACAATGTAACCTTTTAGCTTACATACCTTTGAGTTATCGGGTCCCCGAGGCTGACGAAGAACTGTGAGCCGAGGAGCATTGGCATCATCCAGATTAATGCTCTTTAAGCGGTTAACGAGTCTGTCAGGACGTGGGGCAGCGACAGCCTTTGCACCTTCACTGTAACAGAGTCAGCCACAGAAAGTACGGGTCACTTCCCAGAGCTGGTGTGAGCTATTCACTGTCCCCATTAGTATCACCCATCCTGTGCAAAAGCAGACCTCAGTGATGCCACATAATTCTGCTTCAAAACCATTCCTTTAAGCACAGGGCTACAAAACAGCAGTAGCTCAAACTCCTCAAAAGGGTATTCTGTAATGAGTAGAGGTGTTGCATTTACTCTCATGTACATCTAAATAGTATTTCCTACGTTTCTGTTTCCTTTAACTGCAACAATAAAAGGCTTACAAGTGGTCAGTACACAATGGCATAGCATCAACATCTCTAAATGATTGCAGCTCTTGGGTGAGAGGTTCTCACTGAAGCCAGAAATTCAGAGCTCCCAGTCTAGGAACAGCTCAGTTTAGAAGAGGCTTGCACCAGCCTGCTGTGATGCAGACATCATGCCAGATTAAGTCACTTGAATTGTAAATCCTCACCAGACACGCCATACGTTACAGGCACTGCATTTTCCTGTGCGCTGGTTCAGGATTACAGAGAACTCCACTTCGTCTCCAGCCTGCAGTTCTACACCATCCTGAACTTCTTTGACATGGAAGAAGAGCTTTTTGCTGTCACCCACTTCATAGTTAATGAAACCAAACTGAAAACCAACATATCACAAGGTTATTTTTTTTTTCCTCTGGATCTAAACAGATTCAATGACTTACTCATTATTGCAGTTTAATGGCTTTTAGAAGTGGAAATGCAATTTCTACACTGATCAGAACATTCTGCTGGAAGCAATACTTCTGGAAGTCTAGGCACTCTTGAGTTGGTAAAGTAACATTTAAACCCCAAAACCTATTGAACAAGTTTTGAAACCTGCCAAAGTCCTGGCAGCATTCTCAGTATTAAACTGAAGAGTGCTGCTGCATGTTCTTTTCCAAGACTCCTCTTTATACAGCAGAAACCACTCCACTTGTTGGTCTGTCCCAGGTGTAAGTAGTTGGTTACTCCCATTCACCATTTTACTTGGCAAAACTCACCCCTCTGGCAATGACTAGAGCTTAGTGCTGCAGAATAGCTGTAAAACCAGAAAGCATCACAGCAGTTAATTTTCAAAGAATTGTGAGATGCAGCTGGCCAGGTTACGATTATCCTTTGTGTTTCAGGTGGTCTGCAAGCACTGTCTGCTTAATGCTGGGAAGCAGCTTCTAAAAGCAGAGTTTGCACCATTTTGTTTCTTTTTTAAAACCCTTCTTTAAAAACCCTGTTCTGCAAAAAATAGTTAGAACAATTTCCAGGACATCCCAGAAACAGGCATTCAGAATCAACTGATTTTGATCAGGAACTGCTGCCCAATAGCACCAATGAACCAGTAGAACCAAGTACTGCGTTCACCTTCCCTAAAGCCACATGACACAGGTTTGCGTAAGCCAGTGCTTGGGTGACACAAACCTGCTTCCCTAGGACCAGCACACAAAGCAATCCATCCCTGCCAAACAAGATTCCTGGATTAAAGTGCTGAAGTGGGTTTTCATCTGCTCTATGCCACGTTAACTAGTATTTCCTGTGAACGTGCATCACTCACCTGATCTTTCACACATTCCACTGTAGCTCTGCGGAATGGTGTGATGTTAACAGCCATTGTCTGCCCATTTTGACCAAGAACACAGAGCTGAAACTTTACAGTCTCTCCCTTTTGCAGACAGTCACCCTTGTTTGCCATTCCAACAATTCCAAATGGATAAACCTCTCCCTTCATCTCACCTAGAGGAGGAAAAAGCACAGGATAATTGAGAGGCATCCCTTCCTACCTGAGGGCATTCAGAACTTATTTCTGATACTAGAAATGCTGCTTTTACTATCAGCTTAGTAGTATGAATATACTCTGTAGGATATCTATCGACACCTCTATTTACAGTTTATTAAGATTCTATACTTGTGCATTTGTGAAGGAACTCTTGTAACTTAAAATCTTACCATCCTCCATGACTTCAATCATGCCCTGGTATTCAGTCTGTGTGGGATCTACACTCCTCAAAGGACGAATTACTTTACCAGAGTAAACAGTTGGATCAGCTTCTTCAGTGATACCATTCACTGAAAACAGACAATGGAAGAACAGGATGTTCTTTTCATACTTTAGTGGTCAATAACTTCCTCTTTTTAAACTAGTTTGCACTGCAAGACACTGAAGGCAGTGCACTATCACCCACTAGCACTGGAACAGCTTTAACACAGCAGTAATGACAGCTTTTATAATAAAGACCACACTGATATTTCAAACACTGAAGCAGAAAACCACTGTTTTTTTGTGAAACTAGAGATCACTGAATCAAAGTATTTTACTTCTTTTCCACTGCATTCCCATTCCCCACATATTTTAACCATTCAGTAACCTTCAAGTATGCTTTTTCTTTTCCCGCCAAATCCTTAATAACCCCAGCTGCATACCTCCTGCAAGGCACAGCACAGTTAGGGCAATTATTAATTTGGCTTGTTCTGCCACTAGCTCTCCTGTTCTAACCCTTCAATTGAAGAGGACAAAGTACAATAAAGGTCTAAAGAGTTGCTACTGTCCACAGGGCTGTTGGTCTACACTTGTCTGTTCTCTGGAAACATAAGCAACAGCTTTCAAGAAACCTATGACCACCATGTTAAGCATCATCCTGTTGATCTAAGCTGCAGCTGTAAATGGATTATTAACAAACTTTATCCATCCACACCTGCCAAGAGCCTTGTAAGCAGAAAATACCAGGCAGAGTCTTACCTGCATGTGTTTTGTTCACCTTTTCTGCACTAACTTTGTTTCCTTTGCCTTTTGACAAGCTGTATTCAACAGTGTCTCCAAGTTCCAGGCTATCAATATCACCGCAGTATTCACTAGACAAACAGAATTATGGACAACTTTCCTTTAGTTATGTAATAACATGATATTCATTCAACATTTACATAAGTTGATCAGAAACTATTTAACTACTTCAGTACCTCCCATTTCCATGAAGCATTTCAAATATACAATTAACTGTATTTTGTGGCCTGGGATTCACAGGGATAGAATACCAAGGCTGCTGACTAATAGAAAAGCCTGAACCAGCCAAGCAAAGATAATAAATGGAACTTGAGATACTTAGCACATACGTGTGAAGTCCAGATGGGTTTAACAGTAAACCAAAAAACTCTGGCCCCCAACTAAACAAACCCACACAAACAAGCAAGTAATAATAAACTGTCATTCACCTGTAGTGGAAAAAGATCTCCTTATCATGGTTTGCTGTTTCAATAAATCCAAAGTTATCTTTCAGGGCTGCCACATATCCCAAAAGCCTCTTTGAGCTGTAATTGCGTCCTAGCATTCTGACGGAAACAGCTGTCTGCAAACCAGTTCTCTTCACTTCACACACACAGAACTCAACCTGTTGAAGAGGTGCATGTCAACACTAGACAGAAAAAAAACAAGCAAACCACCACAAAAAAAAAAAACAACTCCAAACCATCTCATTTCAAAGCTGTGTAGCTCTAATCAATACCTACACTCACCAGGGAAGCAGTTTTCTAGCCACTACACTCACCAAAACATCTGTCAGTCATTGACATTTACTACATTCCAAAGAGTAGCAGTCACAACTAGCAGTACCTGCAAGGCAAGCCAGCCTCCAGCACTCAGCTTTTAACCCATTACAGATGAGAATCTTTCTGTTCCTGTGATTTGCCTCCTTACACTACACTTGCCATTAGTAGCCCCCAGTGAACATGTACTGAGCTTCACCCACTTGTTTCAGGTTTTTAAAGACAGTAACTGGTGCCTTCCTAGTACAGCTCCTGATCACTGGCAGTTTTTAGGCTGCTCTTCCAGATCTCCAAGCTCTTTTTCCCCTTCCATTATCCCTCATGCTAAGTTGCTCACAATGGTATGTTCTCCCTCTTCACCATTCATCTCAAAATCTCTATGCCAGTTTCCTCTTAATTATTCCCAAGCAGAGCCCAGTGTCTTGATGATAAGAATTCCTTGTTTTAAAAGCTTCATTTACACATTAGGACACTATTTTCACATACGTATCACCAGGTTTCAGGATATTATTCTTAGGTATACAAAATATTACGCATCTCAAACCTAGGACAGATGAAACCAGTAACATTATGCAGATGCCTTGCCCTTCGTTTGTTCCAAGAGGGAGAACAAATCCAGTAACAAGGCAAAGAGAAGCTCCCACCTCACACTGCACAGAAAAAAAATATTTCCCAATGGTGTACTTAGTTATATTGCCTTATCTCCTATCTGGGGATTAGCAGATCCTTCCACATCCTTGGCCTGGTAAGGAATGGTCAGTTTTACTCCACAGTCATCATAAACAATTATTCCATCCTCAGCTTCCTAAAAATAAGACATCAGAATTCAGCAGTGTCTCATCTGTAAGTGAGCAAGTTCCCTGTATACAATTCAAGCACTGATCATTTGAGCCACAGTGGTTTGACAGTAACTGGTGAAAAATGCAAGAGAGCAAATGACTCTAAGAAGTTTTAAATTATACAATAAAGGAAAGAAAAGTATTACTACTATAATAGTAATAGTAGTAGGCACTTATTGGCAGTTTAAGTACTCTGGTATTGTTTAAAACAACCTGACAAAGCAGAGGTTCTCCTCTAGCCCTAGAAGCTTTACTTTTATTCTATCTAGTACCTTACTGAGTAGAAGGTAGAAAGAAACTTCTTACTGAAGTTCCTGGAAATTATCCTCAACAATATAATCATTAATGATTTTTTTCTTATCTTGTTTCACACAGGTTAGTTTGTGCTGACTGCTGTTGTTGGCTATTCAATGTATTTCACATTTATACAGGAGTAAGAATGCTTCAAAAAATGGAATTAGATTTTTAAGCAAACAGCCTCAGGCTCCAAAGCCAGGGATGCAGAACAGGTACTCCACAAGTAGAAGAGCTTTAGCAAGAAGAGCATTAGCAAGTAGTAGCATTACCTTCTCTTTGCCTTTATTTGGGCTAGCTGCTTTGGCTGGAGTGGCTTCTTTGTCTATAGTGCCCACAAAACGATGGTCTGATTGGGTGTGGAAAGAAACCGTGCCCTTTGGAAGCTTCTTAATCCTTATAGCATGATTTCTTTGGGCAGACAACATATCCTGGAAAACAGGATCAATCCGATTGTAGACAGACTGCATGTAATACCTTTTAAAAGTAAAGATTTCTCAGAAGTATTAATCTCACTTACAGGAACAACAGTAAATTCTACTTCATCAGAAATATGGAGTTGATTCCCATCCATAATTTCACTGAAGTGAAAGAACATGCGAGCATCCCGGTCCACACATTTAATGAAGCCAAAGCCATCTCTCATTGCTGCAATCACACCCTGGTAACAGGCAAAGGAACAATTACAATTTTTGTACTACATGACACCTGTCTGCAGGTACTCCATGTGTGTTTGAGGAGTTCATAATCTGGACACAAGGCCTGAATCCTATGAAAACATTTATTGGTTTATGCGATATGCTGCCTTGCAAACTGCAGTGTTAATGGCTATGGTCAATCTGAAATGCAAACAAGTTGTACTTACCTGGTTTCTCAACTTAATTTCTTCTTAAGAGTGACATGGAAAAGATTAAGCCATTAACAAGGACTACTACAGTTAAGGAACCTGGCACTACTACTACACAGAGAACAGCTCTACAAATTCATAAAGCACATATATGCAAACTAAACATACAAGAACTTATACAAAGAGAAAATAAAAGCAGTGGTCAAATGGAAGTTTAAGAGAAAGTCCATCAGATTTCCAAATGAAATTGCTGAAAGAATTCATTATTCAAGTTAGGAAGAACTACAACAAGATCCTGCCAGAAGCACAGTGCGAGACAGAATTCACAAGCATACTCAGTTCAACCCAGTTCCTACAGAGCCTTCAGCAAGTCTCAGCAAAGGCTTGTAATACTTAAATGGCAACACAAAGATAATTTCCACCTTTGGGAACATTCTCTTGCATAGCATCTTGAGCTTTCCTAGCTCCTATTCAGCTAACACTTGCCAGCCCAATGAGAATTCGGTTCAGGCAAGCAACTATACCTGGCCATAGTAGAAACATAAGTCTATAGGATAGAAAGCCAAAACCCAAGAGGCTGAAGTTCAGTGGTTTTCTTAAAGCAAAGGCTCCCTAATCACAGCAGTCTTATCACACTGGTATGTAACTGGTCTTCAGTTGAAAAGGCAGGCAAACTCACAGTGTAGCTGGAACAGAACCAGTATTCCCAACTACAGGAATGAAAGATACTCTATAATACTGATTAGCACATCCACCTTAGTCTTATATCTAAGGATTTCAGAAAAGGCAATGGAACACACTAGTGATTTTTACATTCAAGTTACTGTTTAAGACAAAACCCTCCCTATGTTTTACTTTGACTTCCCCATAAGAATTAAAAGAGATACTTGCCATTTCCCTAGTTTCATTGGTAAACTGGAAAGTATTGGGAAGAACCTCAATATTGGTGGCTCGTTCCAGTTTGTCACGTCTGTCTGTTGAAATATTGAATCGAACGTGGTCACTTTCCAGCAAGGTCACCTTGGATTTTGTATCTTTGTCTCCAAATGGAAGTTCTTTAGGAATCACAAAGTCAACTTTGATGCGGCCAGGTAATGGATCACTCTATAGGCAGAACACCCAACAGAAGACATTAGTTCACCTGCAAGAGTCAACACAACTGCACAAGGCACTGGTATTTCTGCCAGCTATTCTAACAGAAGTATGGATGACACCACATGCCTGCTGGAGTCAAACCACTATGTTCCATTTCTACCACTCCTCATTTGAAATTTGCTGTACATAGCCAAATTAAAGGTGTCTTTGTTGTGGTTTGCTGGTTTGGGTATTTTTTCTAAAGCACCAAGCATGTTATTGCCAAAGAAATCAAGACTATTTCAAGAACTGAGTTTATAACCATGCTTACAACACTTCCAAAAAGCAGAGTCTTACCAAGTGTTCAAAACACACAAGAAACCCCACCCCAACCCCTCCAAAAACAACAATGCTGACTGGCCTAAAGCCATAAGGGAAGTGCTCTTTCCTCTAAGGCAAACATTAATGGTCAAGTTATCTGTCAAACATGTCTTTAAGTGTTAATCTTCACAGGAATCCTGAGATCAGGCATTTCCAGCAAGTATTTTCTCCCCTTTTCCCTATCCTTTTGCCTTAAAGATTCATCCTAAACTAATTAAATTCAATGGGAAGTATGTAAAACATTAAAGAAAACACTCCCCAGTGTAGCACTACCCTAATTCTTGCTTTTCATCATCTTTAGAAAAATTGTGTACTGTGACTGCTATGAGTGGTTGTAACAGGTTAAGCCCAAACTTACTCCTTCACTCTGATACAATGCTTATGCAGCAGACTGTTACAGGGAAAGGGAACACTTACTGCTGGACTGGAATTCAACACAATCAAAAAAACTTTTCACATAAACTTCAGTAAATACTGAAATTCACCTGGTTTTTGCTGGGTACTTTTGGAATTACTTTGGTTACAGTTCCTTCAAAATGTTCAATGCTGATATCTTCAAAAATGACAGTTCCTTGAGGCAGCAGTCTAACATCTGTTGCAACTTCTTTACCCTAAAAGCACAAAATCAGTCAGACACCCATAGAGATGAGGTAAAGAGCCATTCTCCCATGAACCTCCTCCCTCCTTTTACAAGTGAATTTGAGAAAACAGACAGCTGTCCAGTTATGCTCTAGCATCGTCTTCAGTTTTCACTGGATTTCATCTTACATTTCTGTCTTTGATTGTAAACTCCACATCATCACCAGGCTGTAAGGCTTCTAGGTCACCTTTAAATTCACTATAGTGAAAGAATATCTCCTTCACGACATCACCCCTCTCAATAAATCCAAAGGCTTCCTAAGAACAGAACAGAGTGTTTAATAAATTGCCTATTCTCTTAACGCAGCAAGTTCTATCAAAGACAATAAAAGATTATGACACGCCAGCATAGCAGATTCATAAGTGCACACAGCAAACAGACAACCATGAGAAATTAAGATACAAATGGAAATAAATAGGACTTAATTTGTTAAGATTTGTATCAAAGATCAGCTGTTTCAAACAGTTTACACCCACAGCTCCAAGCTGTTAATAGCTCTTAGCACCCTAAATATATTACTATAATACCACATTTCAGAACAGCATTTCATTTTCTAAGCAAACTTGAAAGCTGAAGCACCACTTACTTTCATGGCACAGACTACTCCTTGACAGCGGGCTTGTTTCTTTTTTAGTAGCATAATGTTACGAGCACTTACAGCACCAGTACTAGAGAGGAAAAAAAAAGTAAACAGAGGAAACCTGAAATAACTTAAAACTGCAGCAAAAGTTAAGATTATTTCATAATGTCATTTCAATTCTTGGAACAGGCATTAATTCTGCCTGCCTATTACCCCAAGTACAAAGGCAGAAAAGCAATACCAACTTACTGTTTATTTGTATCAATTATAAAGTTAATTTTATCTCCTGTTTCCAGCTGTACATTTCCTTCAACGTCCTCTGGGGTGTAAGTCAGGTAAAACACCTCCTGTAAATTAACATTCACTGACATTATTACTTAATATTTGCAGAATAGCAATTTAAAAGAAAGATTAACACAGTTTTAATAACAATACCTGCACTAAAAAAAAAAACTGAGTTGAGAAAATGGAAAATGCTCAAACATGGCATGCAAAACCATTCCTTTTTCCCCATCATGCTGCTTGGATGAGTCTTTAACAAGCAACTTAAGTTGGAAGGTTTTTATGTGGCCATCTTGAAATGTCAGTTTCTAAACTTTAGTCTTCAAGGTAAGGATACATGAACATTACAAACCCAGCTTCATTAAGTTTTAAAAGAGAAAAAACAACTCTGTGGCTTTATATAAAGTTCTCCACAGATATAAGCTAGCAAGCTGTGGAATTAACATTTCTGCTTGTAGAATTACCAAAGCATGGGAGGTTTTGGCCAAGAACTAGAGCTCTTAGCAATGTCAGCTGTCTACATTATAAATTGCATCACATTTTTTGCTCATAGACCACAGTGATGGACCAGTGAAGAGTTCAAGTAAAATATGCAAGCTTTACCCCATTACGTTCGTAGCATACACTCCCTGTTGGACTCTGACCCGGGGCAGCTGGAGATTTACTCTCTAAATTGTGAGGAACAGCGCACACAACCTACCAGCCAAAAACAAATAAAATCCGTTGCTAGTCATTTCAGGAGCAGCACTGTTGAATACAACATGAATCTCAGTATCCCCTGCTATACACTCATGGATGCACTTCCAGTGTGCAACAGGGAATGCCACATTGCCAAGTTTCACTCTTACAGAGCATCGGGTGACTGTAAGAATGGTTTGGAGCTAAGGAAGAGCTCAAACAGAACCTCTGATTTTTTTTACCAGAACAAAGATATATTTCAGTGTAACAGTACACCATATTTGGTTAATATGCATGCTAAATGAATTTAGCCTTCAGTACCAGAGTGAAGCATAGAAATTACGCATGCATAGCAAACAGGCACTAACTTGTCCATTTATTCGTTCTTCAGGTAATATTTCTGGTTTTATCTTCACCAATTTAATAGCAATGGGTTTTCCAGTTCGGCGGTCAGAAGACACTTCAAACTCAACATCATCTACAAGACAAACACACACACACACAATAATGGTGTCACAGTTTTGTTTAGGGGTTTTGTTTTAGTTTTTTAAATGGTGACATGTGCTAATCCACTGCTTGTAGCCAAACACAAAGTAAAATCTCAGTAAAGCGCATAGCCAAACACAAAGTAAAAACCTTGCTTTTGTTACCAAGCAAGGACACGCTATTTGCAAATATTTATCTGGTTATTCACTCCTGCTGCTAACAAACTACTCTATTGCAATGGCTTGCCCCTGAGTTACTCCCTCCTCCTGCCCTGCTCAATGTAAAGCAGAGTTCAAATGGAAGTGCAGACAACATAACACATGCCATTGAACAGTTCAGAACCTTTGCTGCCACATTCATCAGTAGCATGAAGTAGCAGCCTGCCCATTCTGAAACACAACTGGCCATCCTCAAACTAATTCTAAAGAAGAAACACTTCTTTAAGTAGATTCTTCCCCAGTCAAAGCACTTATTTCCATTTCAGTTATACAAATTTGACCTAACACCATACCTCTGCCAGAACAGTCACAACTACATTAATGCAAGCTGCACAAAGCTTAAGTGTTGCAAATGTCTCTCATCAGGAGTGGTGGGTTAATTCAGTTGTCTCTTAGCCCACCAGAAGCAACAGCACCCATCTGATTATGCCACAAGACAGAAGTATTTTCTATGGCAAGTGAAGGAGCCTGGTTTTCACTCAAGAAGCTCTGGAAGTTGCCTCATTACCTCCTACTTTGAGCTCCTGTAAGTTGCCATTATACTGCGAACAGTGGAAGAACAGCCTAGCTTGCCGTTCTGAACACTGAATGAAGCCGTAAGAGGTCAGCAGTTTTTCTATAACCCCAGTCTCACGCAGCGCTGCCGAAGTACCATTGGGGTACCCGTTGTGTCCATTGTTGTGGAGCAGGTTTGGATCAAAGCTCATCTGGTTAAAAGAAAACATAGGGAGGGAAAAAGCCACAAAACCCACTTATTGACTTAAAATAGGTTTGTTTTTTCCATGCCCACATAATACAGTACCTATTATTAACAGAAACACAAAGGGCTTGTAGAAGTTATTGTAACAAGCAAATTCTAGAGCACCAAAACAGTCAAGACAATCATCTCTAGACAGGCAACATATTTATAAAACAGGCCAGAAATACAACACCAAAATAAATACTGTTTAGACCAAACCAAACTTCTGACTTTCTGAAGCACTGCACCTCAAAGTACTCCCACATTCACTGTTTCACACCAGAGCCAGGAAATACCCAAAATATCTGCTCTTCCAAATTAAGCAAGTTTAGGAAAAATGCAACAGTTCTGAACCAACAGATTCAGATGCAAGCATGTTAAAAAAGAGCATAACAAAAATGTCAAATACAACATCCATTTATACAGATCACCAGGAGGACTGTCATAAAACTGTGCTTTAAGAAGCTTCTAGTAATAGGCTACTACCTATTAATTACTTGGACCTACAGTATAATGGCTCTCTACTGCACCATGATGACTGCCCAACTCTGCCAACAGTTCACTCCCAACAGCTGACTTCTAAGTAAGTAGTTATTTGAAAAGAAGGGATTTGAATCACAACACTACCATTACTAGAGGACAGAAACATTAATAACCAGCTCTCTAGGGTTATAAGCATCATTAACTAGAAGCATACTGCAAGTACTATTAATTTGTTATACTACTAAAAAGCCAACATAACAGTAAAAACCAACATAAATCCTGTTGGCAACTTATTTCCTATTAAGTTCTGAAATATATATATATATAAAACCTTTAGATATGCATACCAACCTCGCAGTGATATTCAAATATTGCACTTTCAGTAGTATTAGCCGATTCTTCTGTTTCAGCACAAGTTTCTAAGGATGAAGACTGCTATTATTTAAAAAAATAAGGAAAATGAGAAAGAAAGAAAAAAGATAGCAAGAGAACTTGATCTATTGAGCTAATAGAGAATACAAGTGCTGCTGCCCTTGGCAGTTTCAATACAGCACTGGAGAAAAAGACTACTAGCAGCGCTGGGACGTGCTCTTTTGAAGCTGTTGAGTAGGCACAAACTTCTTGTTTCAGATCAAGCCTTGTGTCTTCAGTGTAAGTTTCCTCTTCTTTGGTCTTGAGTTGTTACAATGTGGTATATTCTTTTCCTGATCTGAACTTGAAGCAGCAGTTTCAGGTGGTAAATTCTGTTCTGTTCCACTTCATACTGGAGAAAGGGAGAAGACACAAAGTATCACTTTAAAAAGAAATTCTACATCAGCCCAGGTGTTCCTACAAAGTTCCTCTACCTTAATACTGCAGGTGTGATCCATGCTAGGCAAGACTGGCCTACAGATATATTTGGCATTCCCATTTTCAGCTTTGTTTTACAAGAAACTATCTCCAAGCCAGTGATGTGGCATTTCCCATTCTAAGCTCTGCATGCAGTTGGGCATTTCAGGAAAGGTACCATTAAAAGAGCAACTTCATTTGATAATACAAGTCTTAATCCTCCTATCAGTTACTTTATATGCTGCCCCATAATTTAATTACTAAGTGCTTGCACAGACTTTCAGTGTAGCAGCAGGGTGTCTGTGTGTGAAGGAATAGTTTTTGTTGCAAAAGGCAAGTCTAGGACTAACAATACCTGAAGCACCTTTACCTTTGTGTACGAAAAAACCAAAGTAAGTACAGATGCTGTACGCACCCTACACAGCATGTAAGAACTGCAGAGCTATTCTCTGGACTTCTTAAGATAGGGTCTGCAAAATACTAATCACATATAGTTAATACTTGTATAGCCAACACAACAGAGAAGCCTCTCTACAACAGTAACTAGATTACTTTGTGTCTTCATGAGAAAGTGCCACTACTACATGAAACTGAATCTTACAGAAACAAACTTTTTTGGAATAGAAATCAAAATCATTTTTGATTTGAGTTTGTTGCTTACTCAGTAGATACAGGGGAAAAAAGGGGGGGGAGATTCTTGTAACTATGACTCTATGGCTAAAATACAATATTCTGCAATAATCTAAAGGTGTAAAGCATCAGAACACAATTTCTCCCAAACCATTTCACAAGTCCCACACCAAATGAGAAAAAAAAATATGAACAAAGTCCATTTCTCCACTGCAGTGGGGAAAATGGATTTCACAATCTACATCTACCTCTGAATTCCCTTTAGTGAATGTGAAAGAGTCAACTTAAGTGACTGAAACATGAATGTAAAGACATTTAACTTTCCTCATAGTGAAAATGCTGACTGCAGGCAGCTATTACAAATCAGAACTCTAAGCCCCAGCAGCACACAATGGCTGCGTGCAAACTCATCACCTGGTTTTCACACAAGTTGGTATTTCAATGACCTCTCCTCCAGATGAGGCACCTTCTTTTAGTCACCACTCTGAAAACTTCCATCTGAAATAAGTTCTCATCAGACCATTCCACATACAGGAATGAGGTTAAATAAAGAACTGGATGAGGGTTCTGAGGTTGAGTATCTGGTTTGAAAGATTTGCAGTGAAACATTCAATTATAAAAACATACAAATTAGAAAACATGAACCTATTGCAAAAAAACAATAGGAGCACTAAACTTTGCACAAACCTCCCTATTAGGTTCACACAACTGTTACTAGAATCTCTTTCACAACACTAGTATTTCTTGGACAGCATTTCAGATCTCAAATGAGCATCCCCTTCCCTGCCCAAGTTGAGGAGGAGTGAAGCAGACATGCACTGAATCACAGGAACTGCACAGAATATCCATGTACTTCTCTCTCATCTAATTAGACTGACATTATTAGAGCTCTACTTGAGCTGTAATTATCATGTTACATTTCTCATTTTCCTGGACATAGAATATATTACATTTCCATAGAATAATCAAAACCCCTCTTCTGTCCAAAGATAACCAAAGCTGATTGTATCAGGTAATGAGTCAGGCATCAGCTTTTCCCTCAAAAGCCAGTTTGATCTGGTAACAAGGCTGGTTTACCACAGTTCAGAGGGTTGTCAAGCAAACACAACTCAAGTAAAAAAAAAAATAAATCTGTGTGCGTCTGCCTCAAATTCTTTACTTTTTAATTCAGCTGCTATAAATACTCCTCCAAATGGTAAACACTCGAAGCAGCTGCCCAGCCCCCAAGTCACACTGGGTTCACATTGTGTATTTACAGCTGAAAGGATTAATGCAGACAGGGCAGAGCCATACACATCCTGTTCTTGAAGCCTTTCAGGTGCACATTTTGCTAACTGACAGTAAGTCACATAAAGCTGGCCACAGCTTCAAACACGCTCACAGCAGAAGCTGCTGGATTACCACCACTCATCAGGCTCACAGCAGAACCTGCTAGATTACCACCACTGCTTTATCTCACTTTTTCTTCAGAAGAAATGGTAACTTCAAGAACGTGCATTTTACTGGATGTAATATGTGCTTCTGGAAACAGCCGTCTCTTACACGACTATAACCAAGTTGTCTAAAGACTTTGTATTTTTAGTATGCACACACAACACAGCTCTTAGATACTTGGAGATAAAACTATTCCTCATATTTTTGTATGACTATCAGAAAGCAGCACTAAACACTAGCCTGAGCGCCCCAATTGATACCTGACTGCTACAAGATCAGCCACCAACATCTATCTACTGTGTCAGCGAAGTCAATTTTACATCAAAAAAACCCTCAAACATCTATGGGGGGAAAAAAAAGTTAAAGAACTTTCACAGACATTTTGTTCCAGTATCTAAAGGGTGGCTACAAAGACCACAGAGACTCCCTTTTGACAAGGAGTTCCTTGGAAAAGATAAGGAGTGATGGGCACAAGTTCCTGGTGAGAGTCCAATTGGACACAAGCGAATTTTTCTCAATGAGAACAACCAGCCATTGGAATAACCTCCCCAGGGAAGTGGCGCATTCCCCAGCACTGGACATTGCTATGATTCAGCTGGACAGAGTGCTGGGACATCCAGTCTAGATCATGGTTTGCCTAGAGAGGTTGGACCAGATGATCTTTGAGGCTCCTTCCAACCTGGGATTCTTAGATCTGCAAAAGCACATATACATACACAATAGTTTAAAAGATACCCATAACCCCCCAAATGCGTTTTCTCTGAAAGGGATGTGGGAAGAGTCCCGCGCTCATTACTAACCCAGACAACAGAGAGCCGGCCTCAGGCCGATGGCGGCTCGGCGGCCTCCAGGGCCCGGCGCGGCCCTCCCGGCTGCGCTGCAGCAAGATGGAGGCCGCGGAGCAGAGCGGGGCCCGGCAGAGGGGCGGTGCCAAAAGCAGCCCCGGCCAGCGGCGTGCCGAGCGGGGGCCGCGGTGCGCGGGAGGGGGACAGCACACCGGCCGCGGCCTACGCTATGACAGCGCAAAGGCCGGAAAGGGCCGAACCAGGCACCACCGCTTCCCGGCCCAAGGGAAGGGCAAGGCCCAGTGGAGGGAGTGGCCGCCGCGCCGCCCGCCCCGCACACAAAGGGGGGCGATGGCGGCCGCTCCCCCACACACAAAGGGATCGGGGCCTCGGCCCTGCGCCGGGCGGGGCTGGCGCGCAGCACGCCGGGAGCCGCGGTCCCTGCCGCACCCCCCCTCAGCGGACGCATCACCCCGTCCCCAGGAGCCACAGCGACGGAGCCCCGCCCGGGGCCTGCCGGGACCCGTAGTCCCCTCGGCACCACCCCCGGGGCACCCCGGCGCCCGGCAGCCTGCAGCCCCCAGGGCGCCCCGCTGCTCGCCGGGCCGCGCTGCCCGCCGGGAAGACGAGTTCCAGCGGCGCACCGGCCCCGCCTGCGCGGCCGGACGGAACTCCAGCCCCCAGGAGCCCCGGCAGCAGGGCGTCTGCCCGCGGGGCGCCGGGAAGCGTAGTGCGCACACCGTCACGGCCCAGTGTCCCGCGGCCACTGGCACAACACCCATCCCCGGGATAGGCGGCCTACAAGGCAGGTGCCCACCACCCATCCGTCCCCGCCGCGCTCCGCAAGGCCGAGGGGAGATTGCGGGCACCTCCGCCCCGCTAAGCCCGCTGCGACAAGGGACAAGCGGGAGGCGGACCCGGAGGTGCCCTCTACGCCTCTCGGCGACTCCCGGTTGCCCGCAGTGTCCCCTCGCTTGCCCGCGGGCGGCCGGGAGCGGCCACGGCGCCGCACGAGCCGTACTCACCCCAACAGCTCAGCGCCCCCGCTCCAGCGCCGCCATGAGCAGCACGGCACCGCACGTAGCAATAAATCCCGGCCTCTCGCGAGAGCGGCGGGGCGGAGCCGCGCCTGCACCCTCAGCACCCCCTCGGCCGCACGCTGCGCGTGCGCGACCACCAGCCGGCCGGCGGCGCGAGCCTGTCCGCCTGAGGGAGCAGAGAGTCCAGCCCGAGATGGTTCATGGAATCCCGGAGTTGGTTGGGTTGAAGGGACCTCAAAGCTCCTCCAGCCCCAACCCCTTCCACTAGAGCAGCTTGCTCCAAGCCCCTGTGTCCAACCTGGCCTTGAGCACTGCCAGGGATGGGGCAGCCACAGCTTCTCTGGACACCCTGTGCCAGCGCCTCGACACATGCATTTCAGATGATGCTAAAACAGATACAATGCAGCACTGTTGGTCATTGTAATATTTCATTCAGATGAGGTAAAAAATAGGGGGCGAACAGTTTGGGTACATGCAGAGCAGACGGATTCACAAAGCACACCACACTTGAGAAAAGACTGTCCACTGGGGTCTTTTATTCCCTCTTCAACAATTTCTAATAGAAACGGATTATATACAAGATTACTCCTGTACAGAAATCCCTTAGATCTACCAAACAACCTTGCTGGATATTCCAAAGTTTTGCAAGAAAATGTCTCTTAATAAGAACAGGAACATAAATCACCTTCTGCATCTATCAAAATTCTCACTGGGGAAAAGTAGCATAAAAAATTAAACTAATATTGGAAACAAGATATTTACTGTTCTTGGAGGATTATTCTTTGACCACAGGTAAGAAAGACGAGTCTTTATATAAAAATGTCATTAAAAACATCACAATACTGATACATTCCTACAATAACACAACTATAACTTCACTCAATACAGGATTATTCTGTCATAACTATGTAACATATGGTACTAGACTTACCTGTCAGGTAACACTAAAAACCTGTCTATATGGTTAGTTTTGGTTCAGTTTTGAGGCAGAATTATACAGTCTTCCTGAAGTCCAAAGCAGTGGGAGGCTGAAGAGCTTTGATGTGAAAGCCCTATGCTTGTGCAGGGTTAGAGCACACGCCTTGAGCTCACAGCCAGCCAGTACACATGTGACTTGGAGCACTGGTAAAGCTGGAACAGGGCTACATGTACAACCAAAATCAATTGGATAAATGTCCTTCAGAAATGCACAGGTGTCAGAAAGAGTTGTCCCCTCTGCTTTTCACCCCTAAAACAAGGTAAAGAATGCTCCTTAGAGGAGTTACTAAAGTGCTCTCTTGGCTATCTGCTGTTCTGTTGACCTGCTTCTAAACAGCTGTCCAAGTAACAGTGTCAACCCAGGCAAATACTGAGTGTCAGCTCTTCAGAGCCAAAGAAAAGCTCTGCACGCCTGCTTTGTGCAGGCAGGGCAAAACGTGTTACTACCATTTGCATCAGGTTTGAACAATCTCTTATTCCTTCTATCAAACAAAATAATCACAACTATATTATCTTCTCTATCTAATGGCAAGGTGGATCTAAGTGCCATCTGCACAGCTGGAATTATTAACTAAAGCTCATTAAAAATACAAACAGGAGAGGAAATAAACTATCACTCAAGAGTACAAATCAAATACTTCATAGTTAAGCATCTGCATGGTGCAATTACTAAGACGGAGCAGCAATGCAAAGCCTTTGACATCAACGGTATGTAATTTCATCAAAATGCAGAGAAAAAAAACCCCACACTTTGAAAGACAGAACAAACATACAAAGAAACACCTGAAAGAACAAACCAAACCCCATCCTTGCAGGGTAGTTTCACAAGTTTCTGAAGTCAAGGTTTGGAGATAAGGTTATTTTGTGACCTAAACTTCACAGTCAGGCAGATCTTCTCTCCCCACCTCAAAAGATTCTTTGCTGATTGACAATAGTTCACGCAGCTCTTTGTTTTCAAGCTGCAAAATCAATATTTTTGCTGAAATAGAAATGAGCTAATTCACAATTAAAGGACAATCATCTTTCAATAGCCCGCTCCTCCACAGGTAAATTAAACTGATTTTGTAACATAAGCATTAAGGCAGTGCTAGCAAGAGAGGAACTACATCATTTACAGCTAATATTTTGCTTCTGGCTACATGTGTGCATGTGTACATGTGCGTAGACATAATATACATAATACAGTCATTAAGAACCTGAAAATTAACAGATCGTGTTTTGCATTTCCTGACCCCCACCCCCAAAGTTTTGATTGCTATAAATCCTTGACACATGCAAGTCCAGAGTGAGTTTAGGCACTCCCAAAGCTCGATCCTTAGTAGTTGTATTTGTTCTTACCTCCAATTGAGCTAGTTTCTCCTGAACTTTAAAGAACTGATCATCATCAACTTGAACAGCTTTTCTCATCACCTCTCCCATCTCACATATTCTGTCTATTTGACTTTCAATTTCCTGAAAGACGTAAAAGCAATATATTCAATATGTTCAGGCAAAAGCAGCAGCAATTTTTCCCTTCTAAATCCATTACTTTCATTTTCTTGATTTTTTATTATTTCCCTGTTTTGAATTTTAATCCTTTCCTCCCAAGCACCTGCAACCCTTTCTAACTGGTATAATATTTAAAGATGAACATGTACCTTTTCATCATGAGTCATTAGTGAAAACAGCGAAGAGAATTACATCAGACAGCAAGATAAAGCATATTTACTTACCAAGAAGGAAATAATTTCAAGTGTGACAGGTACTGGGGGCAACAGATTCAGGTTCATGTGAACAGAGTTTAGTATGCAGCAAATTTCCTATTGCTTTGTTAGAAAAGCCTGACTGAATTAAGAACACCGACCATAAAGGCAAATGAGTTTCATGACTAAGTAACTGTGAAGTAAACAGCTTCATTTCAGCAGGATGCCAAGCAAGGAAAGTAAACCATGTCAGACTAGAGCTTCCTGAGGCAGTCTGTACAGAACACATCTAGACACAGCTCTAATCCTTTGGGAGATGGAATTTGTTGAAGCTCAGCAACACACATATAAAGAGCATTGAAAAGTTCTAAGAGGTACTGATTATGTAGCAACAAATCCTGTTTGGAGAGTGTTCTGTTTCCAAATACAGTATTCAGAGAGGAACTCAAATGTGCAAACACAAAAATGCTGTTAAGTGGCAAGAATCATAGAGTCACAGAGTGGTTTGGGTTGAATGGACCTTAAAGCTCATCCAGTTCCAATCCCCTGCCACGGGCAGGGGCACCTTCCACTAGAGCAGTTTGCTCCAAGCCCTGTCTAAGAACTTGGAATTTCTGAAGCATTTTAACGCAACAAAAATATAAGGTTATCACAAAGCCCTTTGGGGAATACCAGATAAAGTGACAGGACAGAGGCTTTTTCCTCTAAGCATCAGTAGTTATTCTACTGCCTCTGGAAGATAAATATATCACCAGAGCAAAGAATTCAGTTTTAAATTCCATGATTCAGGAAATATGTAAACAGATTAGAGCATCTAAAAGACATCTGGAGGAACAAGAAAACCTTGGATTACTTAATCTGGGAAGAAAGAATTACTTTGTTTTTCCCTAAACGGAAAGATGGTTACAGCAAGAATTTAGCCCTTAAAAAGACATTAAAAGGTTGTTACTGTTCTCCAAGTGCTGGAGAAAAATTCATGGATTTAATCTGAAGTACAGAAGATTTTTCCCCAGTGAAACAAAAGCAATGACAGAGAATAATGATGGAAGCTTTGTATAAATGTTAGGACATGATAAACAGAGCAATTCATGCCCCTAAGCAAGCACTGGAAGCAAGACACTGCTGAGCTAGCTACTTCAGAAGACCTAAGTGACACAAACTAGAGAACAAGTTGCCACGTATCGGTGGAAAACACATGTTAGGCTAGCTCCAATACCGATTAAAACCCCACAAGATATGATATGTCACTAGCTTTAACCAGCTTGCTATTCTCTAATCACATAAAAATGCATCTTAACAAATGCTTAACTGAATTCATAAGCTTAAATGGGGATTTAATGTTATTACTAGATGCCTAAACATAAAATAGGCAGCATTTTTCAGCAGCCACAGCTCAGAGGTCTGAAGTCACTGATGAAGGGGAACTTTTAGGCCACTGAGTATGCAGATTTAAAAACATTTGGGAGTGATGGTCTCTTAAGAATAAAACACACTGCAGCTCACAGAGATTTAGAAGGATCTTCTCCCTCTGTTAAAATTCCTGAACAGTAACAACTCTGATGCCTTTGATTTTATTGTAGAGAATCATGTGCATTACGCTTAACACAGGGAATTTAGGACCTAGTGCATAAAGAATAAGCCTTCACCCCAGCTGCAAAAGGGCTGTGCTTTTCAGTGTCCTCTGTGATAACTGTTACAACCATTAACTGCTGGAAACTCTATCCCTGGAAAAGGAATATAGAAAAAAATACCAGCAAAGAGAGACAGGAGTTTCAGAAAATGTCTTTTGTAGCAGAGATGTTCCCTGGATGGAAAAAAACGTTGTACAAAAGCAAGAGACAGGGAACAGGTGTCTTGAGCCCCCGTCTGACCCCATCCCACCTTACCAAAGAATTAGCCTGGTGAACGTTCAAGGCTGGTTCAGCATCTTCACTTTTTCTCCCTTGCAACAGCTGTAACATCTGCTTTCTGTATTTGCTCATGATAAGCTCCAGTGCATCCTGGTGCTCCTCCAGCGAGATCCACAGCTCTGCAAAGCACTGCATCTCATTGCCACGAACTACAAGCCATTTTCCATAGCCATGTCAGCTGTTGCCGTTTCCCTGTACCAGCTGCTCCCCTCCTTGGTGCTATCCCATCACTCCCCTTCCCAGTGCAGCCCCAGGGCTCGGGCCTGTGGCCATCGGCTGTCTGGAGCCATTAGCAGGCCAAGGGGCCATCTCAACAGCAGTTCCCACTTCCAAGGCATAGAAACACAATCACAGAACAGTTTGAGTTGGAAAGGGCCTTAGGATAATCCCCTTCCAATCCCCTGCCACAAGCAGGGACACCTTCCACAAGGCCATGTGGCCTGAGGCCCTGTCCAACTTGGCCTTGAATGCTGCCAGAGATGGGGCATTCACCACTTCTTTGGGCACCCTGTGCCAGTGCCTCACTACCCTCACAAGGAAGAACTTCCTTATATCTAACCTAAATCTCCCCTGTTTAAGTCTGAACCCATTATCCCTTGTCCTATCACTACAGTCCCTGATGAAGAGTCCCTGTCCAGCATCCTTGCAGTCCCCTTCAGACACTGGGAGCTGCTCTGAGGTCTCCACGCAGCTTCTCCAGGCTGAACAGCCCCAGTGTTCTCAGCCTGGCTCCATACAGGAGGTACTCCAGCCCCTGAGCATCCTCGCGGCCTCCTCTGGACTTGCTCCATGTCCTTGTGTTGAGAACACCAGAACTGCACTCAGTGGGGTCTCACGAGAGCAGAGGGGCAGGATCACCTCCTGCTACCTCCTGGGGCACCCAGCGGCCCTGGCAGAAGGCCGAACAGACGCGCTCCCCGGTCCCCTCGGCAGGCCCCGCCACACATCACACCCCACCAGTCCCCAGCGCACCACCCAACGGCCCCGGGAGCTCCAAACACCCCTTCCCGATCCCCCCCGGGTCCCGGCACATCTCAGCCCCCGGTGCCACCGCACTCACCCCTGTTCTCCCGCTGCAGGTCGCGTATCTGCGTGTTCTCCTGGGACAGGAGCGCGTGAGGCCGCAGCCGGGACAAGTCGGTCCGCTCCGCCGCGGGGCCCTGGCCCTGCTGAAGACACGGCGGTCAGCCCGTGCCGCCCCGCAGCCACCCCACCGCCGCCCGCCACACTGGGCTCACCTTCTCGGCCCACGCCGCGCCCGCCTCTCTCATGGCGGCCACTCGCTGGTGCAGGACGGCGGACTGGTCGATGAGCGACTCGGCCGCGGTGTCGTGCTCCTTCAGCCGCTCCAGCAGCGTTCGCGCGTCCGTAAGGATCTTCTCGATGGTGCAGTTCATGGCGACCGGCTCCTCAGCCCCGCGCCCGCCTCATGACCGGCAGCGCGCGACCCCGCCGCTTCCGCCCCCGGTTAGGCGGCGGGTCCGTGTGTGGGTCCGGGTTCGGGTCCAGGGCCCAGTGCCGGGCCGGACCCTTGACGAGGAGCTCGGGGCCGCCGCGCTCTTTACTGCTGCGGGATGCCTCCCAGGAGGAGGGGGGGCGCTGCAGCGCCATCGGACCCCGGTCGACGCCCGCGATCGTGGCGGCGGAAGCTCAGCCCTGCGCTCACTCCGCCCCAGAGCGCTTGAGGCGCGGGCCATGCGGGCTCCCAGCGGCGGTGCTGCCGGGGGTGCCCGGGCGGAGCGGCTCCGGTTCGCACCAGCGCGATGGGAGAGCAGCGTGCCCAGGCAGCCAAGAAGCCCCAGCATCCTGGCCTGTATCACCACCAGAGTGGCAGCAGAGCCAGGGCAGTGATTGTCTCCCTGCACTGAGCACTGGTGAGGCCGCACCTCGAATCCTGTGTTCAGCTCTGGGCCCCTCACTTCAAGAGAGACATTGAGGTGCTGGAGCGGGGCCAGAGAAGGGCAACGGAGCTGGTGCAGGGCCTGGAGCACAAGTGTGATGGGGAAGGGCTGAAGGACCTGGGGGATTCAGTCTGGAGAAGAGAAGGCTCGGGGGACCTGATCGCTGCCTACAACTGCCTGACAGAAGGATGGAGCCAGGAGGGGCTGGGCTCTGCTCCCAAGGAACAAGGGATGGGACAAGAGGAAACGGCCTCAAGGTGCACCAGGGGATGTTTAGGCTGGATATTAGGAACAGTTTCTTCCCCAGAGGGTGCTCAGGCATTGGAACAGGCTGCCCAGGCAGCACTGGAGTCACCATCCCTGCAAGTGTTCACACACCGTGGAGACGAGGCCATTAAGTGCCATGGGTTAGTGGTGGCCTTGGCAGTGCTGGGGAATGGTTGGACTGGATGAGCTTAAAGGGCTTTTCCAACCTGGTTGATTCTGTGATTCTGTGTCCCTGACCCAGGGTGCTGTTATCTTCTCCACTCCTGCCTTAGACAGCGCATGATAAACCTGGGCTGAGGGCTGCTGGGCTGTCTGCTTATCTTATGCTCCCATGTGCCCCTCTTCACTGCAAACATCCTCCACTCCAGCTAAAATAACAAGCTGTGCAATGCTGACTTGCTCCTTTGGTATTTATTTGCTAACTAAAGCTACTGTCCGTGATCTGTGATGTCCTTGATGTTTGGAGTAACTTTGAGCCACAAAGCTCCTTTATTTTATATCACCAACTTTATCAATCATGTTTTCAACAATAAGGTTCCCATGGCACTCCCTTTGACTTAAGTCAAAGACTCACAAGACTCACTCAGACACACAAGAAAAAACTAGGATGCTGTCGTGGTTTATCAGATGAAGGTTTCTGTGGGATCCCAGACATCACCAAGCCCGGTGCAGAAGTGCTGAGTAAGACAATTTTATATAAGCAACAATGTCAAAACATTCCTACAGTCCAGAAGAGGACAGAGTAAGCATCTGCATTTGGAGTGTTTCATCAGAATCAGATTAGTAAGTGAAGTAGGATATAGATTTTGCAAATGCGGGAAGTGTAATGCTCCTTTATAGTAAACTGCATGAACTAAATGTCCAGACCATGCTTTACACCATGTGTTACCTTCTGGGCCTTCCTTATTTTTCTTCTTGTTAGAGAATACTACAAAGTTAAGACAACATGTTACGAGAATTCCTTTTTTGTAACAGGTAATTCACAAACATTTGGAAAAACAACAAATATCAACTGCTAGTTCCAACCCCTGCCATGGGGGTTGGAACTAGGCCAGGTTGCTCAAAAGCCCTGGTGAAGGATCATTACACCTCAGCAGAAGCTGCATGTGGATTGTATGTCTGAATCTCTGGCCTGGCCCTTGCCTTTATACTCCTGATTTAATAAACGCTTCTCCCTGGCTTTAGAGATGACATCCTGGCCTTCCATGCCAAGTAGAGACAAGCAAAGGAGACAAGGGGCAGCGCTGCTCTATCAGACTTTTCAGTTCAGGACCAGTGTAGTCCCTTTCTGGGATTCAGGCTCTTTGAAATAAAATTGTAGAATGAGAATCAGTTAAGTCTACTATACTACGGCCACAAAGCACTAAGTCTTGTGTTCTCACTCTGGGATGCAGCTCATCCCCTCTCCAGCAGATCTTTTGACACAGAATCATTTGTTCAGCTTCCATGGGACAGTAGAATAAGTTAGTGTGGCGCCAGGACACCGACTGATCCCAGTAGGACAAAGCTCCTTGATTTAAATGCTGGGAATGTTTGTCACCAGATGTTCTAGTACGGAGCAAGAGAGCTTAAATCAACGGATGAGCTTTTTCTGAGTAGTGGTGTCTTATAATTCCTTTGGCTTATCACATCCATTCTGTATAAACTAAAGAGAATGTATAAATTTGGCCTCTCAAACTTTTTAGTGTTTAACTTCAATTCGATTAAACACTTATGTATGTGTACAAAGTGAAAAATGAGGGTACGAGAGGTTAATGTTTTAATGCTTTTAATAACTCTTAACCACATGGCTGTATTTTGTCAAACAGAACATGGATTTGTTCTAGCAGGAACAAAGCATGTTGAGGCTCTCCAAAACAGCATGAAAACCATTTCTAGGCCATCTTTGAAAAATAATTTATGATTTTTATGTTTTAATTTTATAAGTAGTATTTATAGTATTTCTGTGATGGAATAAACAGGTTCTTGCTCACAGTAGGAAAGTAGAAAGGAAACCTAGCCAGACCTGGAACAGGTTCGGGCATCAGTACAGAGGATGTGAATGTGCACCAGGTGATGCCCGTAACTTACCGAGGAACTGGAGGTGGAGTAAATTGTGGATGATAATGCCCAGAGGAATTGATGGGCTGAAAATGGCAACATCTGCAACAGACCAAGTGGCATCTAAATGCTGGAAATAGATAAAAGAATAAAGGGCAAATTTCTAGGATAATTCTTGGGTTTCAGGTAAAATCATATTAATCCTAAGTGTGGTCAGCACAGTTTGAGAACTTGTGGCTAAGTCTCTGACAGGTCTCACACCATCGTTCTGCAGACACCGGCTTCTTTCATGTCCACTACAAGTCCTTCCTTGAAAAACTTGGTGTCTAACAGCCAAACATATCATCAGCTCCAGTTTGTTTGCAAAGGCCTCTCTCACACCACTCCCCCAACACTTCTTACTGCTGGCTTTTAGAATCTGGTGCTGGTGTTAACACAACCATCAGCTACTGTTACAGTGTCACTGATATTGTCCTCCACAAAATCTGCAGCACATTAGGCCAAGTGAATCCTCCTCTTGTACTTCCCATCCTGTACTTCCAGGTGGATTACTGCTGCATAAACCCGGAGTTCATCTGTGACAAAAACTATTACCCAGAAACTCAGTCTTATTGTTCATCTCAATTATCCTGCTTTGATAAATCTTGAAGAGTCACCCACTGCATCACAGCACTCACGTTTATGAGTCTAATATTCTTTTTACTATCAAAACAAATGTCCTTAAGATGAAATCCAGGCTAGAAAAATGGGAAAACATTATCGCTGATAAATTGATATATCCAGCTTTTTAAATCTCTCAGCAGCAAGACTCCACTGCTGATAAAATGCTGACCAAGGGATTCCACAATAATTATTCTGGAATGCTTAATACATAATGTCAAGATATTCTGCTTTTTGGAAATGAGGTTCAGAATTTATCTTCTCTTTGCTGTACCTACAGATTCTCAGAACATGTGATCCAACAACTGAACCCACCATGTTCAACAGGTACACATCCCATTAAAATAAATCTTTCTCTTGTTAAAGCCAGGAATGCACACCAACATGCAGAAGTGCTAAGTCAGGAGGCTTTGTGCCTTCTCTCACCCAGGGTTTAGGTTCATCCATGCCATGAAGAACATCCCAACAGTGCCAGAACCACCGCACCTTTTGAAGATTAATAAATAATCCAGAAGAGGGTGAACAAAAGTTTGCAGGTTTTCCATGAGCTCCTTAATAGATTGTAAGTGCATGTGGCTCTTGGACTACTTTTTCATGCTATCTATTTGTCTACCAGTCTATTTTATGCCTCTGAAACATTTCTCTAAAACAAAAATAGGTAAAGGAACATTTTAGAACCTCAGCTGTTTCGTTAAAGCTCAACTTTCTTTAATATTGTTCCGAAAGTTTACTAACTTAATCCCCGGATGATAGGATATAATCTGTATTTCAATATAACCTTTAACTCACATATAACAACAATGTTGTTATTTGCAATTAGCAAATAGTTTTCCAAAGGCTCCCAGTTTAGTATTTGACTCTCGCTTTCATCATTTAATGATTTACAGTAATGAGCTGGAACATCAGGATTTTGTACTGAAATGGCCAAAATAGTTGTCCAGGCATCGTTGCCCTCCTGTGACAGAACTCAGATGTTTTTGTGGAGAGTTAGCCAAAAGCAATATACAATGCCATGGCTTCTGTTTCATTCTTACTGACAAACAACAACAAAGTGACTGTCAGGACTGGTAGTCAGAGCCTCAGGAGCTTCTGAAGGGCTGTTACTTTGTTGAGATTGTGCCCTTTGTTTAAGTTTTGTTTGACAAGTGCTTTATAAATGAGCAGAAGAGGTGGTTTATGTTTCATTAATGAGGCTGATAGTGGTTAATTACTGAAGTTATGTAAACAATCCAATACCAGATGAAGCCAAGCAGGTCAGTTATGTAGAGAAGCTCCAGCTGGAGTAGATATGACTTCCTTTAACCAGTTCTTTGTGTGACTGTAGTGGGCTTTCAGGTCTCCCGTTTTTATTGTCACACAAACTTTCGAATAGGAGAAGGGGCCTGTTAAAATAATATAAATGTATGTATTTAACGTGGATCAGTAACTTGGTGTGAATCACTGCATGACTGGACAGCATGTGGGTTGGAGCAAATGCCCACAGGCTAATGCTTAATGTGGCACTGCACTTGATTTCTACTATGACTAAGTTTTAGGTTCCTATATTCTTATTTTAGAAATTGAATTTATTCTGAATCCACTAGGGTTTATTATACGGACAGAAGGGGGATTAGTTACCTTCTAAAAACCTGAGCTTCAGACTTGAGTTTCCTGAAGGCAATAGGCTTTAAATGCCCGTGTCCCTCAGGCACATTTGACCAGCTTACCAATAAGGTATCATATCAGAAAAGGTACTAAAAAAAAGTCAGTAGTATTAAAAGGTAAAGGAAATAGTTCACAAACCCCTGCTTGTTTTTCCAACTTTCATGGGAAAGGCTGAAAAACTGGATGAAAAGCCAGTGGTGTATGTGAAAGACACTGCTGCAAAAGAAATCCGAGTTCTAACAATTGTAACGTCTTCACTGTTACTACTGAAGTTTTTGTGATGTCTTAGTAAATTGCTGTATAAGGCTGCTTTTACCAGAAAGACAAATGCTGATCATAATGAAACTTAAAAGCTCATTATCTTTGTCTGTACTGTGTAAACAGTACATTCCAGCCCTCTGTCACCACATATCATCAATGTCGGGCATTTGAAAGCTCAAAAAGCCCTGTAAGATGCTCAAACAACACCCATGAGTCAATCTTTTTTGATCCTGAAAGTGAGACTCAACCATTCACCTCCAAAGACTAGGAGATTCCTAAATGGTGACAGACTGTGTGGAAATCAGTAGCATGCTCTTCTCTGGAGCCTATGGAATACAAATGTAACTCTGAAGGGTAATATTAGCTTGCTATGCCATGAAAACCTATTGTCCCTAAAGACTATTTTAAGTGACTTTGCAGTAAGATAACCAACATGGACTGAGTTTTTCCCTTTGACACCTAATTCCATGAAGTCTACAACACACCCAGGTTTTCCTAATATAAATCAAGAATTGTTCTTCCACAGAAGAAAAGTGACACCCTTCTGGAAGTAGTATGTTTGCATCTAACCTTCCGTACATCATGTTGGGGAGCAAGCGTAATGACATGATACCTAACAAGAAAATGCCCTACCAAAGATCACATACTTTATCTAGGAAATGAGCAAAACCTCAGATCATAATGATTCATGTATGAGAAATTATTAAGAATGGAAATACTTGGGGGTTTAAGAATGAAATTTTGCAGAAGTAGCAGCAACAGAAGTTGCTAACAGTTGTGGTCTGTTATGGGAGCACATGAGCCTTGTGCTGACTGCATCAGCTCAGGTGTGTCAGAATTAGAATAGGGAGAACCAGGTGAGTGGTTTGTGTTTGGAGATCCTGACTTCATCAGTGTTTCCAAAATCAAATAATACTGCTGCAGTATTTCTCTGCCCAGGAAAGGAACATTATCCATTTACACAGAGACATGGCAATCTTAAACAAGCAAAATGGGAGAATTTAGAATTCTACCAAGAATATTTAGTAAGTGGACACAGAGAACTCTGGGAAGCAGTGACGTGAGGGTCCCATGGCCTCTGTCCCTGATGACCCAGTTATTATTTGATTTATGTGGACTTGCAGCTGCCCTTGCTGCGACCCCAGGAAAGGCTGTGTGGGAAGTTTGTGTCTCTGAGTGCAGCATTGCTCTGCGCAGTGTCTGGAGCCTTGTGTATGCTCAGAAACTGATAAATACGGAAAAGGCCCTGTTTGCTCCAGCTGGACTCAGACTCAGAGCAGCGCTGCAGCTCCACGGACTCAGCTCTGGGAGCCAGAAATTCTGCAACTACCGTGAGTATTTCATGTACTTCCCTGACTGCTCTGGGATTATAAATTGTTGCTCTGGCCATAAATCAATTTGCCATGTGAAAATATTTCAAGCATTGGGCTTTTTTCTTCTTTTTCCTTCCTTTTTTCCCCCTTTAAACATCTGACTAAATGAAAATAGAAGAGGCTTTTAAATTTGGCATCCTACTGACAAGAATTTGTTCCAGCAGTTCTTCATTTGACATCCAGAGTGAAGTAAAATGACTTTTAAATTCCATTATCTGTTTCCCTTCCCCAAAGTACCTGGAAAACACTAAGTTCCAAACAACCTCTAACCTCTTATTTTACAATATATAAAGATGATACCTTTGAAATAATTGTTCATGGGGTAGCAATTCCAAAGGACAATAAGATAATTCCAACACAGTCCATTAGTGAAATAAGTCAATTCCTATTATGGTGATTATATGACAAGGAAAAGTGGGATTTCTTCAAACAGCAGCTTTGGGGAGCTTCTTGGAACATTAAAACTGGGAGAAACAGATATAATCTTAATAATGTATGTAAGCTGCATACAGGATGAATCAAGTGATCCTACAACTTATGCTGTGAAAGAATTCTTTAATGACAGTAATCAGTGATTGCTGAATTGCTTGAGTGAAACTGAATAGCTCATCCGGGAGCAAGCATATTGACACCAACTGTGCTCAGTTATCATTTGTTTCAGGTTTTGGTTTAAATTTCACAAATGAAAAAACTAAGTTATGCTTTCCAGAAGCAAAAAGAGTGCAGCGATTTAACACCGAGACTGAAACATGCTATCTGGCTCCAGTGCATGATTAGTAATGTACCACAAGGTGTGTTAAATAAATGTTGGAGACCTTCAGCTTGAGTTCCTAAAATTCCCAGTAAACAAGAAATTTCCCTATGACTCAACTGTCAAAATATTTACTATAACAGTTGAAGTACTGTCAATACATACCTCTTAAAAGACGCCCCAGAGCCTCTTCTACAAGTAGATTTTGCATGTTAACAAATTTGATAAGTTAATATGTTACTTTATAATACTGTATTTTAGAGCAATAGAAATAGTAAAAACATCTTTCACCATAAATAAAAATGGATACATGTACTGTACGTTCCAGTCTGAACGTGTACATTCTGTTAAGTGTCTGCTTTGTCATTCTATATTACTTTTATTGATTATTGGGTTTTGTTTTGTTTTCTTTACTGGCTTCCATCTTCTTTGATAAACTGAGAAGTCATTAGGGCAGGACTAAGAACTGAATGTTGGTGAATTTCTGTATTAGACAGGTAATCAACCCTTTGAATCAACATCCACTCCAGTTTATATTGAACATTAGTAGTTCAGAAGACTGATTATTGTCAAAACTAAACTTGGAAAAGTGGAACATTTTCAAACGTGCTTAAGCAACCTACAGCCTAGGACTCATCGTCTGGGAAAAAAGGGAAAAAACCCATAACTCCACTTACACACTTACAGAGACTTTTAAAATTGAAACCAAACAGATATGACACACTCCCCATCAGGATTTCACACATGAAAATACCGAGCTGAAATAGCATCTCGGGAGTAACTGAAAAGAAGGAAAAGCAGGGAATAGCTTTTACGCAGATGACATTTTCTTTCAGGTCAGTATGTCTGGCTGAAGATTAAAGACTTTAATCCTCTGTTACTACTTGTAATTTTATGAAACAAGTTACTAAAATCTTTTGGTTTCAGTTCTTTTTAAGCTAAAGACCTTTATGAACCTTCTCTTCAATTACAGAATCATAAGGATTGCAAAGGATCATCTAGTTCCAACCCCCAAACATATTTCTTTCTTTTTGCTTCCTTTTTAAAGCACACTTACACAAAACATATAGCTGTATTTTGAGTTAACAGAAAAAATGAGCACAAAATATTTTGGTTTGGAAATAGCATGACTGTAACTGCCCTAAGCCCCCAGAGCTCTCTGCCAACTTCACTTCAACTTTGTCCAAGTGATTATGTTTTGAAAATTACAATCAGGCACGTACTACATTCTGTCCAGGATTCCCACAGCCTTCAGTGTGGAGCTGAGCTCTGTGTGCGTGCAGAATTTACTTGCCTACATGGCAAAGGATTACTGAACATATGTGTGGGCTGAAGAAGTGTCCTTTAGGTCACTGTTCACTCCTATGAGGTGAGAGAGATTAGGGACAGCTACTGAGCTTCTGTTCCTTCAGCAGCTTCTCAAGTTTGGAGGAGGTTTCCCTACTGCTAATAGACTCACACAAAAGGCGAGGCAAAGGTTGCAACACATGACTACAACAGTCAATCTTAGAAATAAACAAAACTTATCCTGTCCTAGAAAATTAAGTTCCTACTTTACACATCTTAATCTGATCTTTATTTTTTTGTTTTAAAAAGCCCAATGCAATTTTATATCAGGAAAACAAATTTGTTAACAGTGAATTCTAGAGTGTCAGAAAATGAAACAGTGGCATTCTTATGCAAGCATGACCATTACTCTTGTTTCAGGACAGTATAGCATTCTTCAAATAACTACTGGATTTACTATTAATACTGCTATAACGTTCTCTTAATTTAAGAATTTTAATTTATGAAGTCTTGTTCTAAGCTGTGAATTCTGTGGTTGCAACTGATAACTTTTGTTAGCCAGAAAAAATCGGTAAGAAGGTCTAAATCCTCAAATCTGTTCCTAATACAATATTGAAGTTGAGGGAACTTTGCCTAATCAAAGTCTGCTTCCAAGATTTAGAATATTTTATCAAAACACCACCTTGTGTTTGGCCATATGTACTTCATACTTCCAATATAATACTTTTCAGACTGGATTGGTGTCATTTTATATTAGCTTCTATATCTTCTTCTATTATCTTTATTTAAAGAACTACTGGATCCCAGAAGCATGTTTCTTAAGCAAATACACATTTTTGGGGAAAAATGTAGACTTTGCCCAGGCCAAACTGATCTAACTGATAAGGACCTCATGATTCAGTGAGTCACTTCTTTCTCAAACAAATATTTACTAACAGAGATAACAAAAAACCCCCCAGCATTCCAGCCTCACTGCATCTTTTCACCTTCTGCTAACAACATGAACAGAAAGTGTTCAGTTCCAGAGATCAGTCCAGATTGAGGGGAAGGGGTGTGTGTCTTTCAAGAAGTACACTTCCTTACAGTGAAAGTCAAAGCATCCAAGTGTAGCCCAGGCTCCTTCACTAACCAAGGGGAAGAGAAAAGCTCTCTAGAGGGTAATACATCCTATAGGAAATTGATGTGTTTTGGTCTTCACAGGATGCTTTTTACTTTTTAAGGAATACAGGCTCTTAAATGTAAATCAGGCAGTGCTTAAATGAGGCAAAGCTGACTTTTACTGCATAAAAGAGTATTTATGTGAGGAAGAAGATATTCTATTCTGGCCTTTCCAGGCTGTTTTCTTCTATTTACTTCAGGTTTGACGAAGAAGTGAATGAAGCAAATTCACTAAAAGCCCATGTTTGTGAAGAAACAGAACATCCACCACATCCACATCAGTGCAAATGCCTGAACTCATTCTGGAAGCAAGTTTTCTCTATCCAGCAAAGCTCCTTCTAATCTCTTCCTGAACTAGAAAATTTACCAATGATCAGTCTGATTCCTCCACATGGTTTTGTGTAAAATTCAGAGCAAAACAGTTCTAACTATAACTTGCACATTTAGGAATGTTCTCTATTCTGAATCTGTACTGTTAGGAAAAGGAAATATTTTGCAACCTCTTTGAAAGTATTATGTGACTTCACAGATTTTCTTATGATCTGAAAATGTTCCATATTCTGGAGTTTTCTGGGTTTAGCTCTGTAGCTAACCCTATCCAGCAGTTCTTTCTCGCACGATTATTTCTCTTACTTTTCCATTTCTCTAGGTTGCCCTCTGAAAGTCTATGACATAGCAAGTGAAAGAAACAGCACAGCTGGGAGCAGAACATGGCAAATACATTTGTCACTGTACCGGATGGGTATTGCCTGCCTGAGCCCATCCAGTATTATGGTGAGTAAAAGCAAAACTTCCGTATTATGAAAAAGCAGTATAGAAAATGAACATCTGTGGGAATGCCTATTATTTTCTTCATTTTAGTTTGTCTTTACAAGCTCTTAAAAACTACACGTTTGTCTATCAAGCTCACACTGAAATTGAAAAGTATTAGCATGTGCTCAGACAGATTTGGTACACAACACAATCATGCTGACTGATCATTCCACATAAACATTACTGCTGCTGTCTCCCTTTGACTTGCATGAAGAAGATAGAAGGTTTATTGCAGTATTCCAGACACATTATAAATAGATAATGGTTATTCTATATCTTATATAATTGCAATAACTAATTTGATTATGGAAGAGGAAAAATAGTACCCAAAGCCCATTAAAAAAACCCTCCAGACTGCTTAAAAAACAAACCAAAACCAACCCCAAATAAACCCACAACAAACTTCCAATTTGTATTTACAGAGATTTACAATTCCAAAGGAAGACTGAAATATGATGCATGTTGCACAAGCTTTCTTCTGTATAGCTGTGTGTATTTAAGGAAGGGTGGATAAAATTATCAACAGAAAGGCAGGAAGAAGCACTCTTCATAATTCTGTACCTATATTTTGCCAAGATAAAACTTAATTGTAAGGGATTATAAGTGGAAAAATGCTAAATAAAGCAAGCCTCTGCTTTTCACTCAACTGAATTTCAACTTTAAGTCTCCTGTCATATTAATTTTAACCCCTCTAATTTCTGGACCATGCTGCTCAGACTCTTGTGCAACACTTCCAGAATTACGCATGATATACGTATCTGTAACAAACACTTCACTTGCTTATGGGAAATATTCTGTAATGTGGCCAACTAATAAAAACAACCATTAATACCATCAGTTGACAAGTGGTAATTATGTCCTAGTAAGAATCTACTGGCACCCACATGACATGGCCCAAACTGTTACCAAGCCATTTCTACTACATCTAACATTCTAGTTAAAAACGTTACGGGTAGCACATTTAAAACGAAATTATCAGACTCTTCTTCTGAAAATGTGTTCCTCTATAATTTGTTATTAAATTTTTAATCTATAAAACATTTTAAGACTTTTAAGTAGCTGATGTAGACATAGTTTAGTTTTTTATTTCATTTCCAATTTCTTCTGTATCTAGATGTTCTGCCAGAGCACATCAACTATCAGCTGCAAGACACTGATTTTCAGACTACTCCTTATTGCCAATACTCAACAGCTCAAATTCCTCCTCCAGTATTACAGTCCCAACCTTCCCACTCCCAGTACAGCATGTACAGCCTGGACTCTCAGTACAGTGATGGGCAGTGTGTCATCAGCAGCTGTGAATTAAGCAAACCCCCTTTCATAGCATCCCATATGGATGATGGATGTGGATACCAAGCATTAAAACGGCCAAGATTAAACCACTCTTCTTTCAGCATGAAGGGACAGGAGGAGCTGTGTGTGGTGTGTGGTGACAAGGCCTCAGGCTATCACTACAATGCACTTACCTGTGAAGGCTGCAAAGGTAAGAAGAAAACAGGCTGATCTGTATCTTAGGCAGGACCCTGGGCCCACAGTGCTCAACAGTGTTCCACATCTGTGATTTAAATGAACAGATTTTCATTGTTTTTTAAGCTGGTGTTTCTACAGAGGATTTTAATTTACCAAAGAAACCTTTTATCTAAGATGCTTACTCCAGATTCCCATTTTATACCATTTTTTGAAAAAATGCTTTCACAGTGTCTGTTTAATAGGAGCATTTCATTTTTGCATTGATTGTTCACTAGAATAGTGTCAGTTTAAGCAGCCGCTGATTTTCTGATGCCCATTTATTGTAGATTTATGTCAGTGTTACTAACTTTACTTATTTTTAAAATGAAATAAACCCAAGTAATAATTACTTGCTACTGATTTTAACTTGCTATGTGGGGGCTGTCTTAACCAGGTAAGGAACACAGCAATTAATATTCACCAGAAAGTACAAGACATAACTGTGTCGCTAAAAAAGCAAATGTCAAATCAAGGTAATGTTTCCATTGTAAAATAAACAAACAAAACCCCAAAAAGCATTTACTTCTTTAACTCATTATGAGATGAAGCTCCTTAGAGATAAATTCGTTCAGTCATAACCCGATCCTTGTCTGCAGGCTTCTTTCGACGCAGCATAACCAAAAATGCAGTGTATCGATGCAAGAATGGTGGTCACTGTGAAATGGACATGTACATGCGAAGGAAGTGTCAGGAATGTCGCCTGAAGAAGTGTAAAGCTGTGGGAATGCTAGCAGAATGTAAGTGCTCCTTCCAAGCTGGCTCCTTTACTCATCAACTCCATAAAACCTTTTCCAAAGCAAATCCCTTTTCCTCATCAAAGCTAAATGGTGTTGTTCTAAAACTCATTTAGCTGTAGGAAGATTGAACTTTGGAGTCTGTGGCACCTGTAGCATCTTTATTTGCAGAAACCACCAGTGCTCGAGAAGTATCTCCTTAAGTTAAGAGGCTATTCAAAGACATTACAAGAAAGCACTAACCAGAGACAGCTAAATACCCTGAACCTTGACAGGGCAGTAGGAAGCCTATCAGATGTGCTTTTGTGCTTAGAAGTTATTATTATAGTCTTCATGAAAAATTCTTATGTTTTATCACAGAGCCACAAGCAAGAAACCTGCAAACATTCAGGCCTTTGGAGGATACTAAACACTAAGTCATTTAATGAATAACACGTTGCCATATTCTCTAGCAAGCATAGTTAGTTCCTTATAGGTGACTGCTTCTGTGATGAAAGACTTGTGTTAGCTCCATTAATAAGTGATTATTTCAAATTGTAATTATTTGAAAATACACATATTGACACACACTTCCATGCCTCACAGGTTTGCTGACTGAAGTACAGTGCAAGTCAAAGCGGCTCAGAAAGAATTTCAAACAGAAGAGCAGTTTTCTTTACAATATAAAGCTGGAAGATGAGGGGCTGAATAGTAGACATGTATCATCTACAACAAGATCTGGAAAAGTGGGATATTTTTCTATTTAAAAGATCTCTTTTTATCATTTATTTTTGCCTCAAGTCATTATCACCTCATTGGTTTATATTTTTTTTTTTAACAGATCCCAGAGAAGATGGAACTTACTCCAAGGGAGCATCAGCTTCTGGACCACATCGTAGCAGCACACCAAAAATACACAATTCCCCTGGAGGAAGCAAAGAAGTTTGTATGTACACAGAACAATCAACCTGTGTTGCTAAGTTGTTATCCTAAGCACTGCACCCTGGTTATATCAGATGTCTAAATGCTCTTTCATGCAGCTGCAGGAAACTGCAAGTCCTGAGGAAAGTTTTCTCTATCTCTCCGAGACAGCAGTCATCCATGTACAAGTGCTAGTGGATTTCACAAAAAGACTTCCAGGCAAGTTTCTTCCTTTGGGAAATATTGCAGAACAGTGTGACTCCTTTTCTTCCCAAGAGACAGGAACTATACAGATGGCATGAATCCGAGAATACCACAGGCTTTAAGAAAACTCTCATTCCACTGACCAGTTTTTCTTCCAAATCTAATGATCAGGGTTACCATTTACTTGTCAGAAGGACACATTAGAAGGATTCACTTCAAAAGCTTGCTAGGATTAGATTTTTCTTTTTCTGACATGGAGACATTTTCCGAAAGTACATGGACTTCAAACTACCATCCTGAGTGAATTACTATTTCAACACATTCTGAAATCCAGTTCAGTTTGCAATTTATCATAATCAAAGAAAAAACCAGATGTTCCTTCAAAGGAAAACACAGCACAGGAGGGACTAAGCAGCTCCTATTCGTATTTTCCTTTAATAAAGGACAAGGGAACATGCAATTAAATTTCAGTGTGAAGTTGACAAACATTTGGCTGGGAGGGTGATAATTCTTTCACTACTCTAGGTTGTAAAACTTACTGAGAAAAGCCAATCAGCATGTCTAAAGCAGATATTTGATGTAATTTCGCACTACTGTGGAACAGATCTGAAAGAACAGATAAGCTCTTTTCCTACCCTGCTTTGATCAGGACAAACAAAAGAATCAATAAAGTTCCTTTACTCTTGAATTCTAAGTGCAGACAATAAGCTTGTCAAAAGATGAACGTAATTTTTTAAAAGATCAGATACTAATGAATAAGAAGTATAAATATCCACAATCACTAAGTGATGTTGCAAATTTAAAAGGTACTAGGTGTAAGCACACGTGAAGAACTTCTTCCTTATATCTAACCAGCTATTAAGAAGAAATTTTGCTTAAAGGCAGCCACAGGCTTCCTTGATTCTTAACATGTATCTTTCGCTGCAGGATTTGAAAGTTTAGCTAGTGAAGATCAGATTGCGCTGCTAAAAGGGTCAACAGTTGAGGCGATGTTTTTGCGTTCAGCCCAAATATACAACCAAAGAATCAGTGAATGCCAACCATCAACAAGTGAAAGTAAGTTTGACTGACAAGCTTTGTACTAACACCGGGAGGAGGTGCTGCCAATTTGAAACAACTTCCATTCATTTTAACTGACTGAAATAATTTCCTATTCAACTGTACTGGTACTTAACAATAGTGCCAGTTATGCTTATGTACCTTCTATTGGCTTTTTATCCCCAAAGATCAGTAAAATAAAATAAAAATCAACTGAATCTCTGTTTCCCTCCCATTAGTTACAAATAAAGAGCAACATTTTTGAGTGCTAGCACAAGTTGTTGGGTGGATGGATGATATTAGCTATATTAATGATGTATTAGATGCTGTGTCAAGAGACTTTGACCAACAGTAATGCAACCAATGAACTTAGTGCTGGATAATAAAAAGAACAATTTTTTTTCTGCCTGTATGCTTCTGGGACAAGTTCACACATTTTTGTGTATATATTTGAAAAGCCGATGCAGAAATACATTTACAGTCACATTAAACTTATCTGGGAGCTGTCACCTGTCTTGTTCCAGGTCACGTAAGGCTTTCTGATCATGCAACATACTGTCACATTCAAAACCTTGATAGAAACAACATTTACTCCACGGAAATGTCTCACAGTGAAGAGAGTCCAACTTCCACTACTACCACAGGTAATGAAGGTCTCAGAATCAAAATACCTGGGAGTCTTACTCTGCTGGCCCTGTTCTCAGTCATACGGAGCAATAGTTGGTGTGGCCACTGCTCATTCTCTTCTCCTCTTCCTCTCCATTCCCTCAAGATGCTGTTACACGGACAGGCACTACATCCTCGTGGAAGGCAGAGGTTCATTTGCTTACATCCTAAGATAAAGCCTTGAGCTGTATATATCAAAAGCTGCACAACTGCAATACAACTTCTGTTACTACTTTAGGAATCAACATTGTTTTCACCACGTTTGCTGACGATTTCATGCAATAGAACAGCCTGGAGCCTTAGATTAGGGCAAAGACCATTCATAACAGCAGTGCCTGTTTCTGCATGGAAGTAACATTCTGGTTATTTTATTTATCAGGTATAACCGAGGAGTTTATTACCGCGCTGTTTTACTTCTACAGAAGCATGGGTGACCTGAAAGTGACCGAGACCGAATATGCCCTGCTCGTAGCAACGACGGTGTTCTTTTCAGGTAATGCGAGCTTTGGCTCGTCCCGGGCGCTGCCCGCCCTCACCCACCGAGCCCCCGGGTGCGGAACCGCACCGCTCCCGCTCACTGCTCTCTCGCCGCGCTCTCACAGACCGCCCGCTCCTGAGGAACAAGCGCCACGTCGAAGAGCTGCAGGAGCCGCTCCTGGGCCTCCTCTACAAGTACTCCAAGATCCATCATCCCGAGGACCCCCAGCATTTCGCCCGCCTGATCGGCCGCCTCACAGAACTACGCACCCTCAACCACACCCACGCGGAGGTGCTGGTGACGCGGAGAACCAGGGACCCGCGGCTGACCCCGCTGCTCTGCGAGGTCTGGGACCTGCACTAGGCGAGCCCGTACGGGACCCGCGCCGCTCCCCTCAGGATCGCTCCTCACGGGCACTGCTCTGCCTGGAGCCGCCTCACCGGCCCGGGCGCGCGCCCCACCCGCAGCCACCTCCCCTTCCGCCTCGGTCGCGCGCTGCCCCCTTCCCGCCTTTTTGCCGTCCCTCAGCAGACGGGGCCCGGCGCGGCCGTCATGAGGCGCTGCCGGTGACGGCCCCCTCTTACTCCGCGAGGCCATGGAAAAAGAAAAACCGTTCAAACTGTTCGTGCCGCCGCGCCTGAGCAGCGGCCAAGTGTCTGCAGTCAAACCGCAGGCGAGCGCTCGGGCGACGGGGCTGTGTCAGGTAAACGGCGTTGCCGCCTGCCTTACCGTGTGTTGCTCTGGAGGCGACGGCTGAGGAGCGGGGTGGGAGCGGTGAAAGAGTGGAGAAGCAACCAGGCTCTCCAGCCCTGAACCTCCCTCCCGGAAAGCACATGCGTGTAAATACGTGAAGTGTGGGCGCTGAACTCGTTTTTCTGCCAACTGTTGAGATGGGTGCTGGGGGGTGAACATCTCAAGTTTTAATTTCAAAGACTTTTGTTCCTATCGAAACTGAAAAGAATCATCTTCTTGAGCATCTGTTGTGTATTTTAACTGTGCATCACCTGTGATAAAACATGTTTGACGTGGGCAGTTCAGATAGTAAGTGGGATGTGCACTGCTCGAATACCCCTACCAGCTTTGATTTATTGGTCTGGCCAGATCAAGTGTGCAGTGAAATGTGCTGTCTCTATGCTGTGTTATGTGAATTCAACAAGATACTTTTTCATGTTTAGGTGCCTTATGAAATACGTTTAGATTGCAGTGTGATATTCTGACAAGAGATGAGTTACACTATTTACAAGGCAAATTTCTGTGATGCTTTGTAAAATGGAATGTTCATGATAAAACATAAGCAGGTGTGTGAACTGTGCACAGGCATGCAGTGGCTAATAAGTTCTTGACATCAAAAGCTTCCACATCGGCCACAGCATAGTCTGTAAAACAATCTATGTAAGACCAACAGTTTGAAAAGCCAGTGTGAAGTAAGAACCACATGAGAGAGTGCCAAAGTCATTACCAATACCTTGGACTTTGCAAATTGTGGGCAGTTGATTAATTAACAGAAAAGTCTATTTTCATGTTAGCTCATGTTATTTTTCTTCCTGGCTTTTATAATCCTTCTTTACAAATCTACATATCCAAAACTATTTTTTTAATTTGTGCAGGGGTTTAACAAATGCCCAGATGATGATTTTAATTTGCCGTTTGTAATGGGTACACCAAACCGTGGTGAAATCACTGACCCTGGTAAGCCTAAAATGAGCCGTTTACTTGACACATTCTTTATGTATTTTTCATATCGTTGTCATTTTTCATGTATTGTTTAACTATTTCATAGCTGGAACCCTTATAAATACAGTCCCACTGTTATTTTTTATTAGATACATTGATCAAAATCTCTTCATGTTTCAGCTGCGATTTCACAGGAAGTAAAACTTGGCTCTGAGGTAGATGAAGAGGTCAGATAAGTATAAACTCTGCATATCTCATTTCCTAGGGCCTCATAATTTGTTCTCGAAACACTACCTAAAGCACTATTCAGTAGATACTTCAGGGCTAAAGGAAGTAGCCAGAGGGGAATAATCATTTTTTGTCTTCTATTTAAAGCTGAGTCACATAGAGAAGGTATTTGTGATTCAGTGGAAAAAAGCCTTTAAATATTAAGGTGATTTTTTTTTTTAATTGATTTTTTTTTTTTTAAGGGCCTGGTAGGTCTGTGAGTTTTAATCAGAATAAGGTTTAGGCACTTAAGTATCTTTGTGAAACTGGTTCTGAATATTTTGAAAGGCAGAAGGATTGAAGTCAAAGTATTCTTTGGAAAACTGAAGCAGATTATCCCAATTGTCTTGTCTGGCATTATTTTATCTATAAAACAATGAATTTAGTGTAGGGGTTTCCTCAAGCATTTGATACTTCTCACAGCATCTCTACCATTGTTTCTCTGCTTTAGTGCAACTCAGTAAAGATATTTAGTTTTTTTGCAGTAGCATCCTGTGCTTTCCAGATACGAAATGCTGTGTGCTGCAACAAAATGGGACAAATATGCTTGCAGTCCTCCTAAAGATTTTCATATCCCTGAGGACTAAACTTCTTTTAGCCCTAGTAGCTATTAAAGTCAGGACTCTTACAATACCATGGTGCAGCCAAAACATGGGTAGTGTTAGTTGACATCATACCTCAAACAAGCTGCAGATCTGCCTTGTGGGCTGTGTACTATTACCTGCCTAAGCCACTGAACGAATGTTTCTTGTACAGTGCTTTAAAGACGTTCAAAGAGCACAAAGTTGGTTGCTTTTTCTTCCTGCTTTATGTATGAGTTAACGGCAGAAACTTATCAGAGGTAGTCCTGGGCAAGATCTCTGAAGCAGTTTAACTTAACTCAGCAGTATCTCTTGAAGTAAGAAGGGGAAGTGGTGCGCAGAATGGGAGGAATTCTGGCTCTACTGATCATTATAGCAAAACTTTTATTGATGGAGTGCATTTATCTGTATCTTTAAGAGTATCTGTTTAGCAATGTCACTGTATCTGAGGGCAGTGGGGTATTTTTCACTTTTGTTTTTGAGTCCTACTTCTTCTGTGATGTGCCAATACATGCACAGAGGATGAATAAAGAATTAAACCTTGGTTCTTGATAAGCTTGTGTCACCATCTGTGGAAAAGAAATTACTCCTGTGATATTTCTAAAGAGATAAATACCTATCTACAACATTATTAATTAAATTGCATTTGAGATTAATTTGTGGAATTTGTTTTAATAGAATGTAGAAACAGTGAATGAGTTGTACTCAAAACTCTACAAAGAGGCTGAGAAGATCAAGCGATGGAAACTAACTGTAGAGTCAGAACTAAAGCAGAAAGAAAGAAAACTGCAGGAAAACAGAAAGATTATAGAAGCACAGCGTAAAGCCATTCAGGAATTGCAGGCCAGTATTGTACCATATCCACTGAACGTGTAAAGAGAAAGTTCTTCCTGTTGTAGTATGAAAACATTATTCCTGCGATTAAATGAATGTCCTGGAAGGACACGCCTGGCAGGTGGGGAGGGGGAGTTGCCCTTTATGTTAGGGATAGTCTGGAGAGTATGGAACTCTGTCTGGGGACAGGTGAGCAGTCCACAGAGAGTTTGTGGCTCAGGATTAAAGGGAATATAGCTATGGGAGACATTACTGTGGGGATCTGTTACAGACCGCCTGATCAAGGAGAACCTGCAGATGAAGCCCTCCATAGACAGATAGGAAAAGCCTCACGCTCGCAGGCCCTTGTTCTCATGGGTGACTTCAACCACCCTGACATCTGTTGGAAGGATGGTACGGCCCGGCACAAGCAATCCAGGAGGTTCCTCGATTGTGTAGAAGACAACTTCCTTCTGCAAGTAATAGAGGAGCCAACAAGGAGAGGTGCCATGCTTGACCTCGTGCTCACCAACAGGGAAGGGCTCGTTGGAAATGTGACGCTCCAGGGCAGCCTTGGATGCAGCGATCATGAGATGCTCAAATTTGAGATCCTCAGGACAGTTAGAAGAGCGTGCAGCAAGCTCACTGCCCTGGACTTCAAAAGAGCAGACTTTGGCCTCTTCAGGACCCTGCTTTGAAAGGTTCCATGGGATACAGGCCTAGAGGGCAGAGGGGCCCAAGACTGTTGGTTGATATTCAAGTATCACCTGCTGCAAGTTGAGGAGTGTTGCATCCCAACCAGAAGGAAGTGCAGCAGGAGGGCCAGGAGACCTCCTTGGATGGATCAGGAGCTCCTGAGGAAAATTCAATTGAAAAAAGAGGCTTATAATAAGTGCAAGCAAGGACAGGTGGCATGGGAAGAGTACAGGGATGTTGTCCGAGAAGCTAGGGACCAGGTTAGGAAAGCTAAGGCTCAGTTAGAATTAAACTTAGCTAGAGGTATTAAAGATAACAGGAAGGGATTCTACAGGTGAATAGCAAATAAAAAACAGACTAGGGAGAATGTAGGCCCCCTCAGGAAGCTCTCCGGAGAACTGGCTACACAGGATTTGGAGAAGTCTGAGGTTCTGAATGACTTCTTTGCCTCGGTCTTCACCGGCAAGGGCTCTGACCAAACCACCCAAGTCTTAGAAGGCAGATGCAGGGACTGTGAGAATGAAGACCCTGTGCCCACTGTAGGAAAGGAACTGGTTTGAGACCATCTTAAAAATCTGAACGTGCACAGGTCCATGGGTCCTGATGAGATCCATCCGCGGGTCTTAAAGGAGCTGGCAAATGAAGTTGCAAAGCCCCTGGCCATCATATTTGAGAAATCATGGCAGTCAGGTGAAGTTCCCGATGACTGGAAAAGGGGAAATATAACCCCCATTTTCAAGAAGGGGAAAATGGATGGCCCGGGGAATTACAGACCAGTCAGTCTCACCTCTGGGCCTGGCAAAATCTTGGAGCAGATTCTCCTGGATGGCATGCTAAGGCACATGAAAAACAAGGTGCTTGGTGACAGCCAGCATGGCTTCACTAAGGGGAAATCCTGCCTGACCAATGGGTGGCCTTCTCTGATGGGGCTACAGAGCTGATGGAGAGGGGTAGAGCAGTTGATGTCATCTACCTGGACTTGTGCAAAGCGTTCGACACTGTCCCACACGACATCCTTGGCTCTAAATTGGAGCGACATCAATTTGATGGATGGACCACTCGGTGGATAAAGAACTGGTTGGATGGCCGCACACAAAGAGCTGTGGTCAATGGCTCAATGGCCAGCTGGAGACCAGTAACGAGTGGCGTCCCTCAGGGATCGGTGTTGGGACCGGTCTTGTTCAACATCTTTGTCGCTGACATGGACAGTGGGATTGAGTGCGCCCTCAGCAAGTTTGCCAATGACACCAAGCTGTGTGGTTCAGTTGATACCCTGGAGGGAAGGAATGCCATCCAGAGGGACCTCGACACGCTTGTGAGGTGGGCTGATGCCAACCTCATGAGGTTTAACCATGCCAAGTGCAAGGTCCTACACCTGGGTCGGAGCAATCCCA